ATGGATAACTTTCTCTCCATAGTTGTACCCTATGAGTTTCTTTGAAGGAACTTTTTTTAGTTCGATTTCGATTATATTAGTGCGTTCTTTAAGGCTGCATCATTGCATACCACGGGCGTTAGTAAATGGCCGATGATAAATAAAAAGGGTCTATACATGTATAAGAAGCGCGGTAGTAACGGCGGACGAGGGGCAGCCCTGCCGTAGCCGCGTAAGGGCTGCCGCTTCCGGCGCCGCTCAGTTACGCGGCCGACAGCTTAGCGCGCACGCGTCATGGCCGCGCCCGTGCCCGCGCCCCGACTGCGCCTGCAGTTCCACCCGCACAACATACACGTGAGTGTTTCTTTTTAAAGGGGGCAGAGGCATCGCGCACGTTCGGCCAGTCACGGGGGCAATTTTTAAATGACATTTTCGAAAGCGTTTGTATAAGGTTCAAAGGCAGCGCACATTCGGCCAGTCGCAGTTTTTTTAAAAACATTTTTATTGGGTTCAAAGGCAACAGAAACTGCCTCGGCTGTCGCACGAATAGGCAGGTCCGTCCGGGTAAGTACCACGACCTCACAGAAGAACTGTGTGTTACGCTTCCGCTTTTCGTGTGGTGAGTGAGGTAGCCGGGGCCCACTTTATTAAAAGGTGGCAACGAATGACCATAGGCGGTGTTTACACAGGTGTAAACATCAGGTGAGCCGCCAGATCGCTTGCCATCTTTTCACCTAAAAATAAAATAAAAAATCGAACTTTATGCCTGTTGTCTATTTAGAATCCTTTTTACAGTTTTCAGTTCTGTCGAGACGTTGGTTGTGACACATACGGCAGTACAGTTATATGTATATATTTAAATAAACCACGAATTTAACGTAAATATGAAATAATATGTTTTTTGTTCTGGTTTCCAATCGATTACGTGTAAGACAAAGGTAATGAAGTAGAGTATAGACACATACTTATGTTTGTTGTTGTGTTTGTTGAATTTTGGCCACTACGGTAACCTGTTTCTCTGCATTTATGTTCCGTTGTGCAATTAAAACGATTCGAGGTCTCAAAGGCGATTCCGATGTCGGGAATTTTCGAGGCACGCGGCTCCAAGGATGCTTGGAAGGATGTGATTGCTTTTATATTTTGAAATGTGTTTTATTGGGTATTTGGGTATGTCGTTAAACTGAGGTTAATGCGATCGCTTCTAAATTGATACGATATTCCGTCAATAATCGATATTTAGCTACGTGTGTTGCACAAAATTCTTTAATGTTGCTAAATGTTGTCGCGTAAATTTTTCCGTGGTTCCCACAACTCTTTATTTCTCGTTATAAAATTAAATAGCTTTTAATAGCTCATTAGTATTTTTAGTTTTTATTCTAATTAATTTACAAACAAGTTTGACCTAGAGATTCTTTTTACGGTCTAGCATGTGTTAAAATGTTGATGATATTTAATTCAATTGAATTATTAAATCGAAAAAGTGACACACAAAGCGTACGTTAGCACATACGAGTGATCATAATTATGTAAAATATACTTTTATATTTACTTAACGTAGTAAGTTATTAAAATATATAAATGTCACTGTACAGTCCTTTAAAAAGAGTCCTTGCTTACTTCATCGTAAACACTATAACAATCATTGTATATAACCACCGTAATCATGATATTATAGTTCTAATGTGACACGTAATCATAAAATGTTATTACGCCAGAGGTAAGGTTGCTTGCATCCGCATGGACACTAGGTAAGCCCCACCCCACCCTTCATTGTTCAATGAGGTGCAAAGCCGGATTCTGGTGACTCGCGAAATCGAGCTGCCTTTGCAAATTTGCATTCATTAGCCGAGCGTCGAACGTCACCGTGAAGTTTTATGCGTGCGTTTTTACTATTATCTATCTCTAAGTAAAATAGACGATATTAAACGGCATACGGATATAAGAAATATTTTATTTAATATATTTATGCAAGACAACGAGTTCATCATTTTGTTTTTCAAAGATTTATGTCAAAGTTAAAAAAAATAGTAATCAAGAATAGTTAATAATTGAGACTGCTATCATTGGGAGTTTATATCAAAATATGTGATCTAATTTATAAGTTAGATTAAGTATGAGAGATTGTTAACGTAGAAATACTAAATTTTGCGGCGTATCAAATGCATAAGTAAACAAGTAAGCAGTATGTATTTTAACATAACTTAATATGTATTTTATCTCGATATTTAAATGCAAGGTTGTTTGTTTGGTGTTCGGTTGAAGTATGTATGTATCATTGTTTGTTGAGTCCATTTGAATACGCGTAAAGTTCCCAAGCCGCTTTGACAATGATAAGTGAATGTGTAAATGCCACCGTATGTCCTACTCGATGAACGGTTTGAGTGCCTGTTGCCGTATCGTTGGTCACTGGTTCGACCCACGCTAACAAAGTTGACTTGAGCACTGAGATGCCCTGTTTTTAACACTGCTTTGACATCATATCGCGACCTATTTTGTCATATCCTAAATGCATTAACGCGAAACCGCTGTAACTTTATAATTGCTATAGTAGAGTAATGGTATACTGCTGATGACGTGAAATATAAGATGTTTTAAATCACGCCTGTATAGTGAGTTCACAGAGGTCCCCCGTGAGTTTTGACAACGCATCAGCAATCCCACAGGTGTTTTAAACGTACACGGGCGGCTGTAGTAACAACATGGTAAACAACTTCTTCTCTTCCGATTTATATCACATATTAAAGTGGTAAAAATAATTCTATAATAGAAGTAAGTCATTAAACGTGTACTCGAATATGCCCTGTGTTACCAAAACAAAATTATGGCTGTTAATTATGCCTTCCTTAAGCTAAGCCGCAGAAGACCGGCATGAATTGGAAGCGTATACTTCTGCGTTTCGTACGGTGAGTGAGGTAGCCGGGGCCCATTTTCCTAAAAGGTCACAGTGTCTGCAACCCTACGGGTGTTGCACATATCAATGGGCGGTTATCACTTAATATCAGCTGAAACGTCAGCTCGCTTGCCATCTCAAATAAATAAAGTCCTCTTATCTCAGATTTAGAGGGGTAGCAACATTCCTTACGCGTTTTGAATACGTCTCTTCCTCGATGCAGCCAGTCCAACCGCCGAGGATGCGAGCACTTCCCGGCCACGGCTTCCTCGCCCCAATCACAGATTATAACAGGATGCGACGCGGATAGCGCACAAAGCGCCGGATGGCCGAAAACATCAATCCGCGTCCATCGATTCCGCCAGCGCCGACGCTTTTATCGCGCCCTTTTTCTGGCGCGCGGCTATTTTCGAATTTGGAACCGTCAATGTTACACGATGCCGTCGTGAATGTCCACTTGTTGTGTGAAATAATAGCTTTAACAACTATTAAACCGTTAGACCATCTTGCGGATTGGCAGCTTTGAAATGAGTTTTTGTAACTTTTATTGTGTGTTGAATAACTTAGTTTAGTGAAACAATAATAATGCTATTGGTTGAAGCGATCATTGATCATCACACATTGCAATATACGTGTATTGACATTTTTTTATGTGAAATAAGTACTTTTGTTTATAATTTATGGCGGGTCCGCCACGTGTGTAATTATAAAAACAATATGCTATTCTGCACTCAAAAGAGTACAGGACGGTTCAGGTATTTGTGCGACCAGAAAATAACAGTCATAACCGGTGTATTGTCTACAGTTGGGGCGGTTCTATGACCATACGTGTGAATCATTTCAAACATGCGATCTAAAAATTAGCTACGGAGCCAATACCATCCGTAGAAAACAATTTTTCACGATAAAAAAGATAATAGCTGTTAAACAATTACATCTTATTTACATATCTGTCTTTAACATCGCTGTTTCACGTGCCGTTAGCGATGTGCCTCAGTTACGTGATATGCGATTCAGTTTGGTTGAACAGACCTCCGTTGATATACGTCTCATTTTCTTATAATTATTGAATACCTAAACAGAGCATCTGTTTACATTAAGCGTATTAAGGACGAGCAAATAATGCGCGCTAGTGTAATAAATATTCACGTAAATCACAATTGAGGACGCACCGAAATCAATTAACCCGGGGTCCATAAACATGCCCCATTCGTTATCACCACTGCGCTATATTAGGGAGATATCTCAGCGGTGGGGCGTTACTAACACGATTACTATAAGTTGTACTTTCAAACTGTTTACTTTAAATTACGTTTAAGTGCAACAACATTATTTCTAACCGACTGCGCCAGAAGGAGAGTTATGTTTCTTCGAGGGAGTATGTATGTATGTATATATAATTGTCTGGCACGCTCTGCAGCCTGAACGGCTAGATGGATTTTAGCTTGACAGGTGTCGTTAGATTCGTATTTACTGTGAGAGTGACTCTGGGTATAGCAAAATAAAAAATTACTCAGAAACGCAGTCGGGTTTTTTTAGGTTGGTTTAACGGTGGTAGAGCCACGCAGCAGCCTCGGCTATTGCACGAATGGGCAGGCTCGTCCCGGTAAGTACCACGACCTCATAGAAGACCGGCGTAAAGTGGAAGTATGAGAAATACTTTCGCGTTTCGTCTGGTGAGTGAGGTAGCCGGAGCCCAATTTCCAAAAAGGTTGTCAACGTATCTGCCAACCCTGGGGTGTAGCAGATGTTCATGGGCGACGGTATTCACTTACCATCAAGTGAACCGTCAGCTCGTTTGGCAACTTTTCACATAAAAAAAAAAAAAAAAAGTTTTTTTTTTAAATTATATTCCACTTGTTTATTTAGTTCAATTATTGACGATTTATTTATAAGCCAAGTCCACAAGCCTTAACAAGCTTAAATTTCATAACACCTTGGAATAAATCACACGCGCCGTGTACAGCAACATAATGGGAACAAAAAAAAAAGACGTTGGCAAATTGTCCAGCTCAAAGCATCCAGTCCTCAACGTAAATTATGTAACATATGTACACCAACGTTAAGAAGTAGGCAACTTGTCTAGCTCCAACCAACCCCCGTTTTTAAAGTTGGCCCGTTTCGCCCGCAGACCACGATCAAGGTGTACGCGCGCTGCCTGCGGCCGGACATCGAATACAAGACGCTGTCGGTCACCTGGGGCACCAGGGCGCGCGAGGTGGTGGCCACGCTGCTCGGCAAGTTCAGGATGCGCCACCGCGACCCCCGCCTCTTCTACCTCAGCATGGAGGTCAGGGTGCGCGCGGCGGGCCTGCGCACCGCCCTGGTGCTCGACGACGACGCCAGGCCCGCCGCCCTCCAGGCCTGCCACCCGAAGGGCTACTCCAAGTGGGTATACCACATAAACTGTATACAGATATTTTAGGAACCATTTTTACATCACGCTATAGTCCCAAACTAAGCAACGCCTCTATTATGGGTACTAGATAACTGATAAATAAATATATAAAATAATTAAATATTTTAGGATAAATTTTTACACAACGTCCTCTACTCCCAAAATAGGCAACGCTTGTATTGTGGGTACTAGATAACTAATGAGCATACTTAAACATACTTTTTTTTGTTAAATAAATACAAATTATACATATATAAACGCCCAGACACGGGAAAAACACTATGTTCATCACACAATATTCCAGTATTGGGTATCGAACCCACACCCTCTGGCGCAAGATGCCGGTTCACTTCCCACTACACCACTCGGGTCATCAACTGCTAATTAACTAGGCTATTGCTAAAGGACCGCTCTTCTGAGGGGCCTGTTGGTCAAAGAGTCACTCCGTATGGGAGTATTTCACAAATAAAACTAACAATCTATATCAGTTCCATAGCTGGACAAAGGTCTCCTTAGTACAGAGCGTATTAGGGCATAGCCCATCACGGATTGGCGGACTGCACGTATCTTGAAAAGATTTTCGTTTGTCATGCACGTCTCTCAAAGTATTTTCCTTCACCGCTAAGCGCGTATAAATCAGCACTTTATATTAACAACTTCATTCAAATGACCAATTAGTTATGCATGTAACTAGTGATGGCGAAGGTATTGGAAAATCAGGTGCGCTCTTCTCTATGTTTGCCGGACAAAGGAAAACATCAAATGAGTGTATTTTAAACCGGGTAGTTCTCACCTAGTTACTGAAAGACTGCCCCTAAAGACGAAGATTATAAAATCGCGCCCACTACTCTTCAGGCTAACAAACCGCAGTGCTAGTCGAATAAAACAAATAACTGGTGTGATTGACTCAGTTTACGATGGAGTGATTTGATTTTCGCTTAGTAACTGTTTACTGATACACTAAGTGCTTTGTTATGTCTGGTTTATATACCGAACCAACAAGAAATGTTGATTCATATTAAACATGAATAAATATTATTAAAATGTCGACCTATAGTAGATAACAATAAAAAATATTGGGTCAGCGCCGTCCTGTTTTATAATTTTAAGTCTATATCTAGCAACATTTAGGTATTCCATTGTTCTCGATTCTTCCAATTGAAGACAATATCTGCATCCCACATGTGGCAACATTGTCCCAAATTCTCACACAATAGTTTATTAATTGCGACCTAATAACAATGAAGCCATAACAATCCTTTGTTTGTACAAAGCTAGTTTGCAGAGCGATTAATGCACATTTTGTTAACAGTTTTCTACATCTGCTTATAGCTTGAGCAGGGGTCGCAAATCTGCGGCCCGCGAATTACTTATAATTAAAAGGAAAAGGCGAAGTGAATCTAAAGTCAGTTTTATATTAGATTGGTCCTAAATATTTTCAGTTTTCATTTGAATGTGATTAAAAATATCCCATTGAATTAATTAATAATGTCGTAGGTACTTATTTAGTATGAAATTTAATTATTAAGATATTGAATTTGATTCGATTTGTTCAATCCATTTGGCGACATATATGGTACAATTTATAATTCATTTTATGATTTAATTCCCACTTTCTTGAACAGTCCTTTCATTATGTTTTATAAGAATCGTAAAAAATACGTCCATTAAATAATTGTGTTCAACTTATTGTGTGTAAGTCCATGAGTTTGTCACCCCTGCATTATTAACATTACAAAATTAAGGCCGCGACCTCGTTAAAGTATTAATTAAATCTTACAGCTATGATATAACCGGTTGCGGATCGATTGTATTAATTGCAACGCGGTGTATCATTTCAGTTTTAATTGCAAAATAAATGACGACATGTTGAGTTGTTCTGTTAAGACATGAAATATTACGTGTTGCGATTTGGTCTTGGGACATCTCTTCGCGTAGAAGGGCGGTCGTGTGATTTAAAGAAAAGAAACTGTCATCTGTTGTTTATTTAAAGTCAAACAATGAAACCATTCGGATATCTTTATTACAAAAGTGATATCCCTCCACTTACAAAGATGATGTTTTTTATGTGAGAGGGGGACAAGCGAGCTAGCGGTTCTAGGTGAACTAAGTTCTAGGTGTTGAGCGATAACCGCCGCCCATTGAAATTTGCAACACCCGCAGCGTTTCAGATGCGTTGCCACCTGTTATAAGGTGGCAACGCATCGGCAATTTGGGCCCGGGTTACTTCACTCACCAGAAACCCAGAAGTAATACTTCCACTTCACGCCGGCCTTCTGCGAGGTCATGGTAATTACCCGGACGGATCTGCCCATTCGTTCGACAGCAAAGACTGTTGCGTGGCCCTACCACAGTTGATGTATATTCCCATTCAATGGAAACACCATTAAAGTCATAGCGTTTGTGAGAAAAGAGAAAGAATGTTTGTCGCACGAGCAATATAATTTTCCCTCAGGAAGCGTCTTCGCGATCAAGGTGGGAACGGCACGAGCCATCATAACATAACCGGACAAATTACAATCAACTTTACGACGCACTAAAGCCGATATGGACTGTAAAAGTCCGCCGTGTCGCTCCACAAATCACCGTCTCATTAACTACTCGCGAACTAACGGGACGGGCTCAGCTCTCCGCTCGAAAAACAAAAGGCACCTCGTAGCTGGCGTAGACCACCGGCCAACCTCGCCCGAAAAAGAAAGTAAAAAGAAGTCCCTCCTCTTCCGGTCGCTTCTATTCCCGGCGCGTAAACACGGCCGGCCGGCAGATAAAAAACGGGAACGGAGGGCCCTTTATACGAGCCGGTCGGGTTACGATGTTGACAGTGCTGACACTGTTCCAACGCATAGGAGGGTGCGAATCTATTGAACGAAATATGTCACGTCGTCTGTCTGTCCATCATTATAAACCAGCTATATCATTCTTTAGTTTGGAGATGCGTTGTCACTTTTGTGCACAAGGTCGCGATTGGTAAATGACGTGATGCTAAAGAGCCGCGTAAATTGTTCGATTTTACAATGATGTTTTAATATAGATGACGAATATTCATATTTAGCGCCAGGTAGAGAATGCTATTAGGTGTTAAGTCCGGGCATTGTAGACTTTAGCCTAAGGTGTAACAATGAAATATAAATCCATACTAATATTATAAAGGCGAAAGTAACTCTGTCTGTTTACGCCAAAACTATTGAACCGATTTGAATGAAATTTGGTACACAGATAGTCTAGAGCCTGGGAAAGGACATAGCTATTTTTAATTGGAAAAAAGTGTTGTAAAGGGTTGAATGGTTAAAGAAAGATATTTATTTAAGGGCTTCAACGCGAGCGAAGCCGCTGGCGAAAAGCTAGTAAAGAAATAAATAAATATTTATCGATGAACCCAGAAGTGTAGAAACCATCCATACTACTTCCAATTAATGTTTATCATCAATTTTCGAACGAAAGCAGCTAATTGCTTTCTTCGAGTTCTTGAGTGCACATAACAATTTTCACATTTATCAATCACAACTAGAGGCACTATGTTTATCCCCGTGCCGCGCTCAACGGCGAACTGAGTTAATAAATCGCCTTCTCTACGAGATGCATCACGCACTCTTCGACGGCTGGAAGCCATTATGAGTAACGTCCACGACTTTATAACAATCAAACAGAACCAAAGACAATAAATCTCGTCCTAAAATAAAAATAAAAATTAGGGGTTCATACTAAAATTACTTAATAAATTAACTAGACTAGTAACAAGTTATTTATTCTCTTATCTTTTGCGGCACCTTACAAAAATCTATGAAGGTCTATTTTCTCAATATTGCGTTTTTGTTTTGTTTAGATAATAAGACAGCAAATTAATTTATTACACAAAACGAATAAATTAATTATAACTTAGTTCATGGTGATAAGCTACATGTAATAACATAAAATAAATGATTTTTTTTAGTGCTACTACATTTAATAAAACATATAAAAATTTAAAAATTAATTTTTCGGCACCGCGCTGCCAGGATTCGAATCTGAGATAAGCGGCCGGTGACCTGTTAAATCGTCTGGACGCGTGAAGGCGCTCGATTCTATTCATTTTAAAATAATTTAAATTTAAAACTTTTCTTATTTCTCTATATATTTATATTCATATTGTCGGTACGTTTTAACGAAACGAATCGTACGTTTGACTTGCATCTTTACTTTGACAAGTCAAGTATTGCTTGTTATTCTTGACATAGCTTCGACATACGACTTGAATCCCTATATTACTAATATTATAAACGCGAAAGTTTGTATGTATAGATGGATGTTTGTTACTCTTTCACGCAAATATTACTGATTTTAATGAAACTTTACAATAATATATCCTAGCTTATACATCAGAATAAAACATAGGCTATAATTTATATAATTTTTTTTATGTATATATGCCTTTATATCTGAATGTTACGCCTTCAGCCTATTCTACGCAGACGTAGTCGCGGGCAGCAGCTAGTAAGTAATATTCATGATTTAATCGATCTATGGTTTCAAGCGACAGACAGGCGGATATTATTTGTTGCTATCATACAAGAAGAGTTATGTTGCCACTCCGTAAGAAGTAATCGGTACCAGGAATAAGGTATTACGTAAAGCCAATGCAGTGGTATGAAATGTCGACTGGCAACATCGTTATTTCCCAATGCATAATCCATTCTTCGTACGACGTGCATATACAATGAATTCGAAGAAACTCAGCGTGGTACAGTAATTGCGATTTAACTCATATTAAAACTGTCGAATTTGTCGAATTGCTTAAATCAAGTAAATATTGGAAGTTGTTAAATGACAATAATTTACTTTTAAGTTTGATTTCATCGTCATCACTGCCTGTGATGTTTATCCATTGTTAATGGAATTAATTTTATTTAGATCGCAACAAATATTAATTGTAGTAGTAGTATTTTCAATTGTTTTTTTTAGTTTATCTATTTAAAAAAACATTGCCCTTGCTGTAGGATAGCATTATCCTGTGTTGTAAGGACGTTTTACATACATAAATTTCACCTGGACAAACACCCAGATGCGAAACAACTATCTGTGTGTCGCACAAATAGTTGTCCCGTGTGGGAATCGAACCCACGACCCCCGACGCCGAAGCCAATACCTTGGCAACTGTGCCACGGAGACATCAAAATTAGGTTTATTAATATCTTGAAAATATTAATTGTATCTAGTCTAGTTTTATAAATAAATAGTAACGTTTGGAAACACACTTTGGTAGGATCGTATTTACACAAACCTGATAAGGATGTGGCTGTTAGTTTCTCAAATCAATCAAACGATATGTTCTGAATTAGACCCCGTGCCATTAACCATAGGTAGACTATCATATATAGATTATTTTTCCACAGTAAAAAAATGTTTTATTAACATCTTAAACTTGATCCCAACCAATGTGTTATTTTAAGGTCTTCAATTCAAAGCCTCTCTGTCTGTTTCAGGTTCTCCCTGCAGATGCGTCCAGGCGGTCTGGTCAAGATCTACGACTCGGCCCTGATGTCCTCTTCCCAGTACAAGTGCCTGTTGACCAGCGAGCGCACAACAGCCGACGAGCTCCTGGCCATATTGTTACACTGCTACGACTCGACGGAGGGCGTAGAGAGGTTCTCGCTCTACGAGGTAGGTATTTCTCTTGTTGCTAGGTATTAGAATTTTGTCTTACGAAAGAGCTGCATTTGGGACTTTTTATAACGGCTCAAAAGTTTATAAATAGCAAAAACAGAACGTAACTTTATAATTATAAAAAATTAAGATGAAATTAAGTAAATTTCTTGCTATTTTTTTTATAAGACAATATCTTATTTGTTTGTTACTACATTTTTATGGGTTACAGCAGATAAGATTTCTTATGTCGTGACGTTCCAGTTTTGAATACTCTCTGGCATTCGCTCATGGAAACACGATGATCATATCACAAAAAAAATACTTTAATTCAATACGGTGCAGCTTTCGCGTTAATATGGGAGACTGTTTTCCAACAAAAGTGTATATCGATTTCAGGTGTGCCCATCACAGGAGTACGAGCGGAAACTGCACCCTGATGACCTGCCGCTGCTCGTGCAGCGCGCGTGGCCGGCGGACAGCGAATGTCACTTCCGAGTTCGGAGGAATCCCAGGGCCCCTCCCCTCCCCCCGCGGACCGTCCCTCCGCCGGCGGAGGCGCCGCAGGAGGAGGAGGGACCCTCCAGAGCGCTCTCGGCACTCTCCCTCGAATCCGAGGAGGACACCAAAAGGTACAGCCCAGTCTACAAGTTCCCCAGCATAAGCTACTGCAGGGAGACCAAAAATGACTACCTCTATATATGACTAGCGGCGCACCTGATCAGGATTAAGTCCTCGATGGAAGGTCGCAAGTGGCGAGCTCGCGCGGCGAAGAAGAGACTCAAGTGAAGTGTAAATAGGGCGAGTTTTTGTATAAAGTGTACATATTTCGGACTCGCCGACGTGGTGAATGTTCCAAGTGCGAAACCAAAGAGTTCTTACGGACGGCCTAATCTGAGTGCAGTGGGGATCATGGGTTGATTAAAAACCTCAATCTCGAGTAAATCTATTGATGTTTTCGATAGCGTTGCCTCGCCAGAATTAACGATTATTTTACATTAGAGATTCTAATGTCATTAGGGTTAGTAAAATTCGAATCGATACTTGCGAGTAACATTAAAGCAATTTTCCTTATCGTTATATACATTGTAATGTTAATACAGATTTTGATTACCTACGATATTAAGCATTTTCTAGTCTGTAAACATTTTCACCAGCATTCTTACATATGCTTTATATCCGTGAATGGAGGGACACTGCATCCCTCCCCATAACACTGAAATCATAAAACAACTTTCAAAAACCAGAAGTGCTTGGAAGTTGTTCCCATTAGTTATAGAACTTTTTGTTCGGCGAAATGCGTTTGCCGTTTTAAATATGGTGAAAACTGCAGTCGCGGTATCTCTTGTAAATTAAAGAAATTTGTTGCTGCCTACACGCAAAGTGCAGGCGTAATTTTCATTTTATCGGTAGGTATACGATCGTATGACGAAACTTGTAAATAATTTAACATTTAGTCGATATATAATTATATAAGTCGATGTATAATTAGCTAGTAGACACCAAAGAGGCCAGCGACACGATGTTTATATGCTTAGATCTATTTAACTGTTATGTATTGTGATGTTTAATTTATTTATGGAAAAGGAATGCAATTTCGATTGCCCGTTTGTACTGAGCGATGCCTTACGAATTCACGCATTTACTTCCAATATATTGTTTCTCTTTTAACAGCGGTTGCCAAATTCCCAACGCGTCGCTCAATTACAAAACTGTTCGCTTCATATGTTAGTTCATCGAATTTCTACTTTTAATGAACTTCAATAAACACGATACCTTTTATCAGAAATTTGTTTTATTGCGTCACATCTGCCCTACAATTGTCAGATATTATTGTTGATATTACATTAGAACATTTTGGTAGCGTCTGCCTTTCCGTCTAATTGGGCTCACTATCTCCATGGTTAGGCTAATCTATTTATTTATTGAATACGTATATCAACAGTCATTAATACACATATATTGCAAAACAAAACCACAAAAATATTTTATTAGTGTTGACAGAACATAAAGAACATGCTAGTAATGAATTAGTGATCTTACAACATCAGACAACCTTTTTTATGTAATAAGATGGGAAACGAGGTTCACCTGATGCTAAGTGATAATCGCCGCACACAGATATTTGCAACACCCGAAGAATTTTAAATGCCACCTTTTAATAAACCGTGTCTCGGTTACCGCACTCACTAGACGAAACTCAGAAGTATTTCACAGCTCCACTATTTCAGTTAGATTTCTGTGAGGTCGCGTTACTTCACTGGTCGGACCCGCACATTCGCGCAACGGCGAAGGCTGTTGTTGTGCGTGGTCCTGCCACAGTAAATCACTACATTGTCGTTGCACATCAACTGGGAAAGCAAGTTAGCACAATACAGCCGTAATAAAACAATTACACAGTCACCTATATCATAGATTTATTATAATTAATTAATTACCTCAAACCCTTCTCACTGATCATTGTATCCTCAGTAACATGGTTGCCTGGAAGAAATCGCTTCTAAGCGATAAGGCCGCCAATTGTAATCTTTATGTAATTGTTTGCTACTTTTGTAATTTTGTCTGGTGTACAATAAAGCGTATTTAATTTATTCAATCGTTTCATTCATTTTATTTTCGTTCATTTCAATTAGTCATTTGATTACATAAAAATTCTGCGGTAAGATTAAAGTTCATACTAATGTATTTCGAATTAAAATTCAAAAATAAAATTTCTAGACGAATTCATTTTAAATGTCATGGGTTGTTTGTAGGTTGACCTGAGATATCTAAATTAAAAGAACAATAAAATAGTTTTGGATTTCATAAAATTATTTATTTTTTATTTACAATGATTCCAACAATGAAGTACAGACGATGCGGTATAATTACAAGAGTATGTATGTCCGAGAAAATGGGGAAACGGATAATATCTAACGGCACTAAAATAATCATTAATGTACAATTTACAACATTCGATCCGAGTCCCGTACCGTCAGCAGCGACAGTGGGGACTAACGGCAAATGTTGGAGGCAATTTACTCATAAGTAACAGAATGTTGAGATAAGAAGACATATTGGGTCAAATGCAATCAGTGTACACATTTATCTCTAAATCAAGTTTAAGACAAATTTTATAGTGGATTTCGATTTGATAAATAAAAAGTTCAAATTGCTTTTTGCCATTCGGACTACAAAATGCACCAAAGCAAATTAATTATAACAGAATACTTTCTCGGCTGAAACTAATATCATTTAATTATATGTTATTATATCATAAAACATTCAGTAAAGTGCAAATTACTTCCAGCAGTTGCTTTTATGTTTTTGTTGGTACATTATATCTTAAATAGAAATCTCCCTCCGATATCTAATGTCAACGTCCTTTACCCATACACCTTCACAAGCACAATAACGAATAGCCTTCGTGTACGCTAAATCCACCTTCTCTCTCTATCAAAGCCATCAAAGAGAAAGGGACAGTCATTTTTATAAGTTCAAGTTGAGTTTGTGAAAAGTTCAACTCTACTTTTAACACTACCCTTGCTGGGAGGGTATTTTTTAACAAGAATTAGAATTATTAATACTAAGATGCATAACTCCTTTTGTTTGAATCAACATCGATATTGAGAGACGGTGGGCGTTCCATACATACATTTGCACACTATTCCACTATCCCATTTATCAAAAGCAAAAATCTCGCATCTGGTTCTTGCACATTGACGAAGCTTCCACCCGAATGGTCTTCTGTTTTCTTGACAAATTACATTCATTTCATGTGGATTTGAAAGCAACAGAGCAATGAAATACGTTAATTCAATAAGTATAAAATGGACCTATGGCATTACAGGACATATTTGAAAAATAATAAATTTATTGCCACCTACTTGTAATTCCACACTTAAAATTATAAAAATAAAATGCCTTTGCGGAGGACTCAAAATAAAATGTTTCTTTAAGGATCTGTTGATATGTGTATAAATAATATCATAACCGCTGAAAATGACCATTTAACTAAATTTAAAAATAATACACGCACCAATTAAACTAATTTTCGCTTCCACTCTTAAACCAGTCACCATTATAATAAAAGGGAAGCCAAAGCTTGAATAAGAAAAGATCTCGATCACAAATTGAAACGAAACAGTTTAATCTCGACCAAGTTCTCCGCCGTGATAATAGTCCGGGAAGAAGCCTCGCAGGTCTCCAGAACCGCACTCGATACTTACGTCACCATCAAAAGCGTGCCACCGAAGCTCAGCGAATGATCCACACCTCCCCAGAAATCCACGTAAAAGCCCCAAAGAATTTATACTCACGTTTACCCATGTACAGTCTAATAGAAGTGTTCAAGACAAAGTCATTAGAGTCCAGATGAGTAAAACATCGTACTTTGCACTTAAGATAAATGCGTGTACAGGGGATTTTATAAGCTTATTTAAAAACGGAGAGACATCGAGAGTATCTTTATAACTATCTAATCTATGTCTATTGAGTTTGCAAACACTGAAAGTTGAAATTAGCCTGCCTGTAACGCTATTAATTTGTAAGAATATATCGGATATTTATTAAAGTGAAGATATCTTTACATCAATTTTCTAACTTTATACTTTATACACTAATATATACGTGTAATGTCATAAACGCTGTGGAATTTCACATAAAAGAAGAGTCATTTTATCTGAGTCATGCAATGGGAACAAATGTGAAAGATTAAAGACATTTTTCTATAAGCTGTTCTCGATTAATTAAATGCAGCTACGTTTGAGATTACAATATACATATTTATTCCAATATCGCTTATTTTGAATATACACAAAAGATGGAAGCTCGTAGTTTCGAAAGAGCATGTACGGTACAACAGTTGTATTCAATTGAAAAGTGTAAAAACTGTTCAAGGAAATATATGTATTGCATATTTCTACTGTAGTGTGTATCATAACTATATTTTTCATTGTATGATTCCGATTCTATCAATGTAAATAAAACGAAATGTGGTGCCTTTGAAGCAGTTAAGTGATTCTCTCAATATTGTATAACGCTCATACGAGGCTCAAATTTCTCTGCGCTAGTGTGACATAATTGAAAAGGATCGGGCGCCTCACAAGGTTCCACAAAGACAGGGAAAGCACGTCGAAGTGTCGCACAATAGAACATTCTGTTGAACTACGGACTGGCAAGCGAGGGCGACAAGGGTGCGCGCAACTTTTTTTTTATGGAACAAGGAGGCAAACGACAAGCGGGTCACTGAGGGAAAGTGATCACCGCCGCCATGGCAACACTGGAGGAGTAACAGCTGCTACGCAGGGAGCGCTCACACCGCGTTGAGGGCGCGCCGGGAGGGCCCGTAGTCGTCGGGGCCGTCGCGCTCGCGGCCCCTCGGCGCCCTCTCCTCCCTCGCGAAGCCCTCCCCGTACTCCTCGCGAGCGTACGCGTCCCTAGTGTAGTCGTGGCCGTACGCCTCCTGTTGCGGGTAGTCCTGCGCATACCCCTCGTAATCGCGCGGATGGGGCTCCGGCGGATAGCGCTGGTACTGATCTCGAGGGTAGTACTCCTCCTCCAGACGCTCGGGACGCGACGCCCGCGACCTCCCCCCTGGAACACGATCGAATCAAGTCAGAGTTGGACAACGCATGCGATCGGTTCGGTTGCCTTCGGTTTTTCTCCCTCACCTATATATTTTGTCTCATATTATGACTAGCCGAAGCGTTTTTAATTGTATTTTGTAAACAGCTCGGGGAGGGTTCGTCGAAATCGAAGGCCACCGTTATGTTTATGAGCACAGCAAACATCACACGGGGAGCGGGGCATCGCTTGGGAGGGGCGCCGTCACACACGTCGCGGGAACGCGTTCACTCGGGCAACGCGGACTTACTGCGCTAAGAGTCAAGGGCGATTGACGGCGTCAGCTCCCCGGTACGCACTTTACCCGGGCACGGGACGACCACCTCTGCGGCGGGTATCGGGGACGGTGTCGCTGCGGAGAAGTAGAAGGTGAAGCGAAGGAGGGAGCGGCTCGGCTCGGAAGAGAAGAGCGTGTTAGCGCGGGGTTAGTTTGACGACGTGCATTTGGTAGGGACGTCGCGGAGCCTCAGTGATGGCCGAGACTCGAAATGTAGGGTTTCAATCACGAACTGTGAGATGGGGAATATTGGAGGCAAACAATTAGCGATGCAGGTAACAAACAGCCAAACAGTTATTGGGTCTCCTGAACAGAGAAAACATACTAATTAAGATTCGCATTCCTCTCATCTCTTGGCAGTTGGCGACGTGACCATAAGTGGTAATCGCACAAGGCTAGGAAAAAGATGGGTTAGGCCAAAGTTCCGGTTAGTCCGCAGTCAGTGGACTCAATCAGGGGGCGGTTAGTGAAAGGCACGCTTTGGTCGGCGAAGCTGTTACACCCTCAAGGGGCGGGGAGCGGCAAGAAAGTGATTGCAACCTGGACGGGGTGGTCGCCGGTGGAACTGCTATTTAATGGTACACTGGAATATATGGTCTTCGGCGCGACGGTTAGTGAGCTTGTCCTGACGCTTGTACTGAAATGAACAGGAGGTGTCAGCGGATAGAGGCGCCAATTGTTAATCTAACATCGATCGAAGAATGCAAATAAAGGATCGAAGGCGTTTAAGAACTGTTTGTACGCTCTCCGAAGTGCAATTTTTCACATTGAAACATTTGAGTTTAGTCTCATCAGAAAGCCCAATTACTGTGAATGCAGTAGATTCTTCGTTTTTGTCCGGTTTATTTTGCATTAAGCGTGGTGGAACAAATCAGTCCTCACAGCGCCCTTAATCAGAATTTAATGATATACGTATATGAACTAGAAACTACTATCCACTGATGATAAGTATGCTACATCTAAGAAAGCCGTGTTGTTCTACGTTGTAGAGGTGCTAATGAGGGACAAAGTGTACATTCTCTTTAAACAATGCTGTACAACAAAAAGTAAACGTTAAAGAAAAGCTTTATAAGAATATAATACATAAATCTAAACAACATTGACATACTTAAAAAATAAAAAGGTGAGTTTGATGTTGTGAGGGAAAAAAAGTAAAATGCATTGCGAGTCTAAAGCCAATAACGAAGGGAAAAATTAAAAGAATATCTTTGAAGAGACATCTATTTACCTAAATTTATTAATATAAGAAATAAGTACCTAACATCAGAAATTGCGGAATCCTTAATTAAAACAATCGTACCCCATCGTATTTACCTCTCTCTCGTTCGTAGGTATAGGCATCCGTGCTCTCACGGTGTCCTCCGGAATGTGCAGGGGGATCAAAAGAGGTATACAACGGTTACACATAATAAACGTATAATGGACATTTATCGTGCGATAAATCATTACCTATGTGTTGTGTAGTTTGTTGATAAACCAAATTTTAGAACCCAGAGCCAAAAAATCATTGCGAAAACTAATCCGATTAGTATAGTACTTAATGCAATCGATTAAGGCGTTCAAATCGGCGGATCAATAGATCCATGTTTCTCTGTTGATTTAATGTGTAATCTTCTAAGTAAGTAAGGGTCGTAATCATATTATTAGCATTATAGTTATACCGGTTCGGAAAATAAAAGCTTCTTAAAGAGGCAAATATGTTTTACCAATTATTTTACAACAAAATATGTTTACCATATGTTATAGTCCACTTGAAAGCGCCTGGAGCGATCGACAGTAGTCTAGTAGGATAGAAATACTTAACAATCCGTAAAATACTGTCCACTTTAACGACTTGATGAAACTATTTCATATTTGAATTGGAGAAAGAACAAAACTGTGACGCAGATGTGTGTGTTCGCGTTGTTGGTGTGGTGGGTAGTGTGGGCAGCGTGGGCTCTGGTGGCGTGGGACTGACTCACCAGGCTGCGCGTGGTGCTGGGCGTGGGACGGCGCGTGCTGCGTGGGCGCGCGCGGCTGCGGCGACGCCGAGGGCGGGTGGGTCGCGCTCCAATAAGCCTGCACAAGGCCACAGAACTCGGTCGACAAGATTTGTCGATCGGACCCACAAAGGATTTTTGTCCTGTGGTAGGGCCACGCAACAGTCTTCACTGCTGCACGAATGGACAGGTCAGCGTGAAGTGTAATACATCTGCTGTTCGTCTGGTGATTGGGGTAACCGGGGCCCCGCTATATAAAAAGGTGGCACCGTAACTGTAACCCTACAGTTGTTGCAAATATCCTTGGGTGGCGCTTATATCTTGGGTGACATGGGGTGAAGCGTCAACTCCCTTGCCACCGTATCACATAAAAAAGCTATTCCAATTTATCCCACTAATTAAATTATATGATAAGTTTTAATCGGAAGGTCCTGAGCGATAAGAGAAAAACTTTTCCATTGTCTGTTATTTTTCGTAGATTCATTTTTGTTATTCTAATAACATATTTAACATTTCAATGATTAACGTTTTTGGTAAGAACGCTATGACGATTCTAGCACTTACATAGGTTTAACTAACGCCGAAAAATACATTTAGGAGGTCAAGAGAACAACTCATCGTAAAGGAAAGTAAAAAGAATAAGAGAAAGGTTGGTTTGAGTAAATAGTGCCAGACGTGAAAATGAGCAGAGGATAATGGCGAAGGAAAGAGGGAGTAACGAGAAAGTAATAAAACTTTTGTTTTGTTCATCAAATCAGTCTAAAAGTATCAATCGTAAACAGCACGTAGACATTTGAAATTCGATTAATTAGCCGATAAGTACTAGAGCTCAGCCCTGTAGTCCCGGGCTCATAGAATAGGGCTAAGGTATCCCCTGCCTGTCGTAAAAGGGGACACGGATGGGCAGCAGCACGAAGTGGTCTCGTGCTGGTGCAAGAGGGTGAGGGGATCGGAGAAGGTTTATCCTTCTCCGAGGCGTGCTCAGGAGATCCCGGAGTCCCTCTAAATGTACAGAAGGCGGTCACCGAGGGGGTTTTAGTGAGTAAGAACCCCACATAACCCTGTCATGTAAAGTGACAGGGTATCTTTCGAAGATTACCCCCCCGATAAAAAAAAGTACTAGAGCTAAAGCGATTCTCATCTAGGATGAAGATCTCTAAACTAAAGATGTAATGACCGGTGACGGTTATAGTATGTATATACCAGTTGCTGACTGCGCGTGACATAGATCGCGCATAGATTTTGTTACAGAGTCGTGATCATACATATCGTCAGAAAAAGAACAGCAAGTGAGACATCAATTTTTTATATCTATATAAACACAAATGATATTTGCAGCATTCATTGATTTTGCTATTGATTATGTGCGTGCCGTGTTATTGCTATAGCTTATATAGCGATCCGCCCCGTCTTCGCACAAGTGCGACGTATTGTATATACATATAAACCTTCCTGTTAAATCACTCCATCTAGTAAAAACCGCATCAAGATCCGTTGCGTACTTTTAAAGATCCAAGGATACATAGGGACAGACAGACAGCGGGACGACTTTGTTTTATATTATGTAGTGATGACGATGCAATACCTCTAGGTACTCGGCGATGTGCTCGCAGGCGTCCTCGAGCTGGTTCTCGTCGAGGATCACGTCGAACATGTCCAGGGGGCACTGGGACAGCTTCTCCGCCGCCACCATTTGCACCGACATGTGCTTGGTCTGCCCCTTGCCACGCGACTTGATGAGCCGAGAAAGAACCTGAATAGGAGCAGCGTTAAAGTTAGAAAAATCATCGGAACCTACAGCTGGCGTCAATTCTTCTTTATGTTTTTCTCTCTAAAAAGTCAAAGTTAAAATTTTTTTATTCAATATGGGCTTCTTTTAAGCTCTTATCAGTCAACAGACTTGCAAGGGTAGAGCAAGAGTCTTTTCCACACATCCTTGTATTCATACTCTTCCATCACTTCCATGCGGCTAGGCACTGAAATGGTCTTAATTTAAGTATTTTGATGTCGAAATCCCACCATATTCATTGTATGCACCACATATTATATACACCACACATGTTTATAAATACACCATACATTTGGTTAAAGCAGCTTGTAATTCTTGTGGGTCAATTTGTAGATAGTTCTTATCATTTGTTATTAATCGCAATATTACATAGATTCGCATAGTCTCTAAATTACCGATTTTTTCCGATGTTAAAAGACAGAAAGGTAAAAAAGAAGCCTCGGAGCTGAAGAAGAATTTCGTGGGAATATACAATTACCGATCCAATTACCGGAAACTCAGTATCTATTAAAGCAGCCCAGTCAATTGTTAATAACTTCGTCAAAATAAGTATGTTTCACGATTGAAACTGAATAGTATTTGAAAATCTTCATACGTCATTTTCTATGACAATTAAAATTTTTTTCTTTAAAAAAATAGCCCTTGCTTTAGTATAACATTATCCTGTGTTGTAAGGCAGTTTTACAAATATAAATTTCACGTGGAGAAACACCCAGACGCGAAAACATATCTGTGGGTCACACAAATAGTTGTCCCGTGTGAGAATCGAACCCACGACGCCCGACGCCGAAGCCAATACCTTGGCGACTGCGCCAAGGAGTCATCAAAACGGATTCCCGATCATTAATGAAACCATTATAAAAACTACCGTTAAAATAAATTGAGACAGATAATTGAATAATAAGCAATAATTAATTTATTTTTTTATTTTTTGTGAAAAGTTGCCAAGCGAGAAGGCGGTTCACCTGATGTTAAGCGAATACCGCCGCCCATGGACATCTGCTACACCCGAGGGTTACAGATGCGTTGACACCCTTTTGAAAATTGAGCTCCAGCCACCTCACTCACCATACGAAACGCGAAAGTATTTCTTATACTTTCACTTTATGCCGGTCTTGAGGTCGTGGTACTTACCCGGACGAGCCTGCCCATTCGTGCAACAGCCGAGGCTGCTGCGTGGCCCTACCACCGTATTTAAAAATACTAGAATAATTCTGTGATACCTTTGGGCTGGATATCTTCAGGTACACGATGGTGGGCGCGAGCGAGGTCTTTGCCAGCTGCGACGGGTGGTTGATGGTGTCGCAGTCCAGGACCACGAGTTGCAGCGTGCGCGCCAGCTCGAATATCCTTTCGATTTCCGCCTATCGATACATCGGTTATTTTTAATTGCTGCACACGTGGACCGGTGACTTTTTGACTTCTCTACCGTTGTTACAAAATAATAAATTTTAATTTGGCATTGATGTTTGTACGTTATTCCCTTGTTGCTGACTCCACATGTAAAACAAGACAGTGCCGACTTGGAAGCAGAAGGGGCTGAATTAAGAATAAACTGCCAGGATATATAAATATAAACTGACGTATGTTTGTACTGATTTGATATATGTTTATGTAAAATCAGACGGCACCGTCTTGTATTATATTTTTGTGAGTTAATAGATGACGATTATGTAGAACAAATTTATGCCACACCATGCGACAGATTTCTCCCCACTAAAGTAAATATGTCAGACAAATAAGTTAGTAAAGGCACTTAACATTAACTTTACGTTACTTCAAACATACATCAAATACTCTTATATGCAAATACATAAAACATTATTTCCTTCTGGGTTAAATTGAAACATGGTCCAATGAATCTCAAGTTAAAAGCCTACATACATATTTATACGGAACACGTATACCATACTAAAAACTGTCGTGTTAGCTGTTACTAATGTCTAACTGTTAATAGTGTTTGGAAGTGCGGACTAAGATACGTTTGTCGAGGGCAAAGTCATGCTTTACTAGCCTCAGTTTTATCTAAACAGTTTTCCGTAAGTCGCTTTTAGAGAGAGCATAGTTCTGGATGAAAATACTTGGTGCCGTTCGGAAAGGGAACTGCCATTGGATAGTGTACAACGTAATAGTTAACTCGTCAGACCGTCTAGGGGAACTAGGGGCATCTGAGCGCTATCGCAAACGGGCAAAATCGAGGCCTCAACGGACAAGCGGTTAGTGGCACACAACGGCATGAGACATGGCCGCACCTGCACCTCCGCGAGGCAGTTATTACGCGAATTGCCGCGCTCTATTGTCTTTTTGGACGGCGTCAGCAGGGACCGCTTGGCCAGCGATATGTCCGCCGTGACGCGCGTGATGATGATCCTGGAAGCAGACGGACGGTTCAGTGTGTTGCAGTTACCTGGACCTCCGCTAGGCACGTGGAGCGCGAGTTGGAGCGCTCCATTATCGCCCTCCTCGACGGGTTGGTGAGCAGGGAGCGCTTGCCGAGGGATATGTCCGGTATCACACGTGTTATAACAATCCTGCAATTGTCATGTCATTTCACGCAACGTCCCGTAGCGGCCCGGGTCACGGTGGCGGCCGCGGGGCGCAACGTAAATTGGACGGTTGAAGAGATGTCCTGAGATGCGAGCCATGGTCATGTGAAACCGGTGTTTTGAAAGCATTATATCCAGTGATATTAGGGAGTTGCAAAATTATTTTACCACAGCAGTACAATTGTAGGGATTTTCATTTCTCCCGAACCTGATACGTCGCTTTTTCTATTCAATCTCCAACTACTACAGGCTCGTGAGTTATAAGTGAATTCTACTATAGCTCTTTCAGTATACTATAATATTATTGCTGATTACATAAATCTGTGCGTCCACAATCCCCTTCATCGTTAAGTCAGATTAAATGAGCAATCCAATATTACCTGCCCTCGAACCTTCGCTTGAGGAAGTCGAAGAGCGCCTTCTGCATCATATCTGTCACCTCGTAGCCCTTGAGCGAGGGCCCCACAATCACCACGGGCCGCATCGAAGGTACCACATCATAAGGGTTGGGGCTCTCCTGCTTCTTGAAGAATGGCTTCCTCTTCTCCTTGCCGCCCGGTAAAGCCCCTGCACCCCTACCCTTGCCCGAGTCTGAGTCTTCACCTGCAGGAGTAAAACTTACCATGGAACGCCACACGCCAAGCGATGGCCGGAAACTTTTTTTTTTTTTCAAAAATAGGACAAAAACATCGAACTAAGACTTTGCAGTGGCAATAATTTAGGCAACACTTACAGACACTGTGAGATTGAACGTCGAAACACAGCTATTCATTTAACGGACAAGCACCAGCATCAAGCAGTTTACAAATTTGGGAATCTGGTTCATACAGGAATACATATATAAATAGTAAACATATTACGGACCATCAAGGCATGCTTTGTTTCTTCAACATTTACCAAAAATATTGAGCATGTGAATATCCAATTGGGTAATTCAATAATCATAGCTACAGATATTTCTGTTTTAATCCTTTGGAAAGTTAGTTTATGAAGAAGATATAAATTAACAGACTTTTATTTAGGGAAAAATAACCGGATTTATTTCTTACTTGTAGACTTCACAACATCGATAGCAGTTTCAAAGCAATAAACAAAAGAGTAACATTGAAAGACAGGCTTGAATATTTTTTTGTAATGATAGAATTGTCACTCATATCTTTTATATTTTGAAATTGAATAAAACGTTAGGTAAAACCAATATATAGAAGATAATAATTATTTTCACTGCCTGCTATTTTTTCGTAGATTGATTTTCATAGTTTGAAATTATTTAATATTTCAAGGATATTATGAAATTATGGTCAGAACGCTATGACGATTCCATCAATTACATCAGTATAACTAAAGCTGAAAAAGACATTTAGGAGGACAAGAAAAAAACTCATTGTAAAGGAAAATAAAAAGAATAAGGTAAAGGTTGATTTATGCTACTAAATAAGATCCAGCATAAACCAGCCTTAGTAACAGATGAAAAGAGGAAATGAGCAAAGGATAATGGAGCGAAAGAGACAGAGAGAGAAAGATCGGAATAACAAAAAAGTAACAAATTTTAACAAATCAACAAAGTAACGGGTGAAAATTGATAACATTTCCTGGTCAAATATGATAGCGGATGATCTTACCTCGGTCGAAGGTTGGCACATCTGAAAATATGTTAAAGTTGAGTGCAAGTCATCATGTAACCAGGAAACTGGCAACTTCCACCAGTGTGATGAGCGTGAAATATGGAGACATGGTAGTACAAAGCAGTCACATATTGAACAAGAGGAAACATCAAGTGTTCCGCTTTCCTATATAGGCATTTTATTGTTATTTATAGGATATTTTACATAATCAAAGTAACGAGTGACGTTATCAATATAAGAAAATACCTGAGACAGTTGTTTTACTATTTAATATGCTACCATTGGGGTCACCTAAAATAGCTTTATATGTCTGAGGACGTCGATAATAGAGTAATTGGTATTATAACAATTTTGAAAGGGCTCAGAGTGACAAACAATGTATTTTACACCACTTTTCAGGAGTGGCAATAGACAAAAAGGGTCATCTGCTTTGAATAGTGTTAGAGCCTCTAAGAGAGAAAAAATGTAAGGAAGTAAAAATACATCTAAACATTAGTTTTGGCAAGAGATAAGCGATTTCAATTACGTCTGAGCTAAGTACATCTTGATATATGTTCAATAAACTTTTCACTGATTTTCTATTTTCCTATAAGAGTATATATAAATTGTATTATATGCGGTTTTGGTGTTCTTAAAAGAGGAAGTGATCCATTAGTAAGAGTAGATAGTTTCATTAGAGAAATTTTAGCTTATGCTTCGTTTATGAATTAGGTACTGCTCTTTTTTCTTCTATAATCTTAAGTTATTAAAGCATAGAATTATGCATGTCATTCATAAATGAAGATTTTATCAAAAAAATACGGCATTCAAAATAAATCAAGAAAATTTATGGCAGGTGCATATTATACTATATACATTTTTTTGTTTTAGAAATGTTCGATGTCAATTGGGATAATTTTTTACTCACTCATCATTTTGATAACAGATAAAAAAGTATAATCACTGTTAACGATAAATTTAAGAGAATAGAAAATTATTTAGTTCCAATTTTGAAAATTCTTTGCCGAGTTACTCTAATGAGACAACAGTGAATTAGAGTAATTTCAGAGTTTTGAACAAACAAACCGTTTCATAGAGAATAAAAGTCGAGATGAATATACAAAGAAATTGCAACAAAAGTTTTCAGTAAACGCATTGTTGAGGGGTTTGAGAAGTTTTGTTTGAATTTATTTTGTCATCATTTTTCTGTCGATACTTTAAATACAATACACAATTTTGTATGGAAATAAAGATATTTTTAAATATTATACACAATTTTGTGTAGATAAGGATTGTTCTTGCACAAAAATCTTTTACATATTTTGAAACCAGTTAAAGTTTGGATTAAGACATTAAGGAAAATAATTATACAGTCAACTGCATTGTACATATCTGCATCGGATGAAATTGTAACATAGCAATATATACAAATCGTAACTTGGGCAGAAGAAATCGTCAATTGAACTATGAACGTTTCGTTTTAATGTAATACAAAGTTCTTTGGATTCGAATTGTTCGTTAAATTTCATCCGAGGCAACAAACAAGCGGTCAAATCAAACGACCATGTCGCGAAATAACGCTGACGACGCAAATTGAATGGCAAAGTATGCTGTTCTTTCTTAGTTTCATATCTGTGCGATAACACAGAGCTATAAATAATTCTGTTAATTCAACAATATTCGTAACATCCGAGTATTTTATATGAACTAGCATTTTCACCTTTGTATTTTTTTATATTTACTATATAAGGAATCAGGAAGTTGGGTATTTTATTGTATCTTGTCGATCCCTAATTATAAACGCATTTTTTATTGGCTTTTACGTTTTTCGGTTTACGAAATACTACTGTTTTGCATATACTGATTATTTGTTACTTTGCAAGTTAATGCACACAACTGCAATAACAAATATAATCGAGAACACTCACATAAAATACTTTGCAGTTTAAATATTTAAAATATTTTAGCGGTTATAATTTTATACCTTGTAAACGACCTAGCTAGCCTTTCGTAAGGGCAAGCTTAAATTAATTATATATATATAATCTTAATTCTGTAACATTTAAATTAATTTTAAAGCTTGAAAAATTGAAATTTAAAACAAAATGAAAGTACTCGCGCTTACATATTGTCATTGTGTCAAAAACCCATAACTTACTTCAGACTTAACAGTATGTTGTCAGCATGTTCAATGCTTCATGTTACGTTGTCAGCATGAAAGTTGGAACGCCGTGAAACGAGCCTCAATTTAACAAAGCATCACGAAGATTGCACGATATTTAATGATTGTTGAAACGCACTTAAATTATTATTGTACTATTTGAAAGTCTAACTCGGAATTTTCGCGAAGCAAAGAAGTTATCAGTGTCTTTTAAGATGTGCTACAATAATTGAAGAATTAAGAACAGTTTGCGTCAGACGGTTATAGGTTTATTTAACGACCCTTTCTCATATTTAGATAGTAATAGGTAGTTTTGTGTAACACAAAAAAATTAAAAAAAAACATAATATAGTTATAAACAATTTCGACTTGTTTTGTTGAGTCCAACAAAGGAGTTTCTAATGTTAAACGTTTTATTTATTGTATGAGAACGTGCATATGGGAAGAACAGTTATATTGAATTGAGTGAATTAAGATTTTTCTTTTCAGGATTTATTATTAACTACATAAAACGATAAATTATTATCTCCTTGATGAGACATTACGATGTAATTATAGATAGGAAAATAAAAATGGGGTGTGATATCATTTAATCATTGTGTTACAACGTTTTAGTGCGTTTCAAAATGATTCTATCTTCCTAACTGCATACTCTATAGATAACATGACTTCGCTGCGAGTACCGAAACTATGGGTAGTTTTAAGCGACAGCTACGAAGCAATTTGTCTCTTTATTCGTTCGGTCGACAAGAGATGATTTAAATAGTATTTCTACGTGTAAGCCAATTAGTGGGATCGAGCAAGCGGGCGATATCGTACAATCTTCGCGTGCTATTTATAGCAGAGAACCGTTAAAGGTTTCTGCTGCGCGAATGCGGATGTGACGTCACGGTTTTAATCACGCTCTCTCTCGCTTTTAATGTTTCCCGAACGTAATTGTACCAATTTGATAGGTTCGATACAATTTGATATTAAGTTTCGTCTTTTAAACAAACAGTTCATTATTAATTTTAGTCTACGTGAAAATTCGCATTCACTGTACCAGTATCAAATAATACTAAATGAAATATACACGAAGAGATTTAAAAAGATTATTAAGTATAAATAACATCGAGTTTTAACTTTTAGAACTTTTACCAACAACCGTTATACAATAAGTCATGTAATAGCGGGAATATAATATTAGATGGTATTTTATCACTTTTTATAAATAATACCATTGCGATATAATACGTGGAACCATTTACAGGTACGAGTGTTATTATGAAACCAAGCGGCGAGATCCGCATCCGCGTGAACCGAGATCCGCGTCCGCGCCAATCGAGATCCGCGTCCGCGCCAACCGAGATCCGCGTCCGCGCCAATCGAGGTCCGCATTCACGGCGCTCCACTGCGTTCGATCGGGCTAGGGTTGTGCGTGACGTACCGGGCGTGGGGGGTGTGCTACCTCGGCTCGGGAGGCCGGTGGCCGCGGCGGAGGGCGGGCGGTAGCGGCCCCGCGCCAGCCCTGTCCGCAGCGTCTCCAGCTTCACGGGCGACGGTATGAAGCCGATGTCGCATCCCTCCTTCACCAGGCGCCCGATCCACCAGTTGTTGTCGTACTTCTCCTGGGGAATTAGCACCGGGTACCGAATTACGGATAAACAGTCCAGTTGACGAGCAACGGTACATCAGTTTTCCATGATTAAATGCTAATGCAGTAACAGGTTTTTTGTAATTCAATAAAGGGTGGATCGCCTCACTATCAATTCCCTATTAAATTTTATGGTATTTATCGAAAGCAGGAAATATTTGAATTTACATAGTATGCGAACTTTTGCTATAAGTTTTAACGAACCTACAGACTCGATAAAGAAAGCAAAAGACGGGCAACTCCATATCCAAGTCGCTCACCTTGATGTGGAGGAAGTCGCGGATCTCGAAGGAGATGGCGCTGCCGTGGACCGGCGAGTCGTCGTCCAGGGTCCCGTCGTACGCCACATTGGTCCTGACAGCGAACGCCACCGGCTTCGACTGGAATTACGCACAGATTTTAGGGTCCCGTAGCTATATGAATGTCGTTAAACAGATGGTTGCAACCAGGAGACAGTCCTGGCAAATGATCAATGCCAAATGTCTTTCTACCAGAAAGAAAATATTTTTCTACCAGAGATTCGAAAGCTGCTTGGCTTGGCAATCTTTGGGTGCCTTACTTTCGGACCGCAAACTAGATGGGTGAATACTTCCACTTATCACCGGTATTTTGTGAAATAGTGAACAGCGTTGGTGGATCAGCGCTATTTTGGAAGAACATAAAGTGACGGATTAGGATCGATGAAACATGATCTAATCTCTCAACACTTCTTGGAACAGCAGTGATTATAATAAACATATAAATATTTGAACGTTTGAATTCCAACTAATGACACGTGACTAGAAATTCTTCCAATTATCATATTCTTAATTATAGAAAGTAACTCATTTAATCAACCCAGCAGAAAGGAGATATATTTACTCGTATAACTCTATTGCTTGAAATACATAAAAATCTTAAATCAGTAAGAACCACAGAAACTAAAAAATCCTTTTGGATCTGTCTTCGCACCGTTTGTGGCATAATTAGGCGAGAGGTGGACGCGAATTTGATCTCTTCCGGATACTACATAGCCAATAACTGCAAAGGTAACGATCCAAGAGGGTTGCGTAAAATTTACAGATCGTAATATCTGATATGCGGCTGTGGCGTCGATTGGATGCGGGCAACGAGTTCTATCTAAATAAGATTTCGCACTGTGACCTACTTGCGGTCGTATCGATTGATACGTCGGTAATTCTAATGCGCGTAAACCGAACTATCCAGAGAATCGGCGGTTGTAACAGTCGCGGCCGGCATCGGCAATGCCTGGTGTTTTTTGTTTTGTGAAAATTTGTCAAGAGAGCAGTTAACCTGATGTTACCCCAGTTTACCATGCGAAACGCAAGAGCGTTTGTTTGAATATCAAGCTCCGGTTAAATGGGAATTCTTGAATAATAAAAATCTTCAATAAAATGAACTGTGTATTTATAGTTGGATCGTTACAATGTTGAGAAGGCCGGTGTACGTGCGTTTGCCAGCGTGGTAGTGAGCGAGTGTCGCGTTGGTGGGGTCGCAATGCCGAGGTGCGCCTGCGATGACCGCTGTTGCTGTGGGATCGGTCCAGCAGCCAATGGCAACGCAAAACCGCGATGACGAAAACGCGACGTCAGGAACACACAGTGACTCTGCCCATCAGCCAGAGAAGTGGAGGTCGATTTACTTCCTTGACCAGGACCATGGTGCCTATCTTCAGATCTTGACCTGGGGAATTCCACTTCATTCTCTGTTGTAAGAGAGTAATGTACTCATTAGTATAACGCTCCCAGAAATGCTGACGGAGTTTTTCGATCCTCTGGTAGCGTTGAAGTCGCTCGATCTTGCCGTCGGGTATTTGAGGATACGGTACTGAGGTGAGCGGCCGTCCAATAAGAAAATGGGAAGGAGATAAGTAAGAAAGGTCAGAAGGATCGGTGGATAGAGGCGTCAGGGGTCTGGAATTTAAAATAGCCTCTACCTGACTTAGACATGTCGAAAGTTCTTCATAAGTTAAGTGACTAAGACCAAGGGTGCGACGTAAAAGATGCTTAGTCGACTTAAACGCAGCCTCCCAAATACCTCCAAAATGGGGCGAGTAAGCCGGTATAAATTTAATGTCGATGCCCTGATTCGCGATATCCGATTCTATCTCACTGCAAGAGACTTGTAAGAAGCGTGCAAGCTCATTGAAAGCTCCCACGAATGTAGTACCATTGTCGGAGTACAAGCGCTGTGGCTTACCACGACGAGCGATGAACCGACAAAAGGCAGAAAGAAAGGCTTCCTTTGTTAGGTCGGAAACTAACTCCAGATGAACAGCTCTGACTGCCAAGCATACAAAAACACAGATGTAACATTTTATTAGCTTACACCCTCTGCCTTTACGGTCAGCTATCAGCACTGGCCCCGCGTAATCTAAGCCTGTGTTTAAAAATGGGAACTCAAGTTGCGTCCTATCGTTAGGTAAGTTACCCATGATGACCTGAATAGGTTGAGCTTTTATGCGAGTACATCGAATACAATTACGTACAGTTTGCTTAGCTAAGTTTCTGCCACCAAAAGGCATTGGCCTTTTGGTGGCAGACGTATTGACGTAAGCTTCACGTTTGCTAAAAGTAATTGTGGCCCTGCGTGTAAAAGAGATAAGTGTAAAGATTTAAAAATTATTTTGGTTAAGTGGTGTTTACTACAGAGTAATATAGGATGCTTAACATCGTAAGTATAATTAGAGTTCTGAAGACGTCCGCCGACACGTAATATGTTATTTGAATCGATGAAAGGAGAAAGGCTTAAAAGTCGATTCTTATTATTTAAATTTTGTTTAGATTTAAGACAAATATATTCGTTAGGAAACATTTCTTTTTGAGCAAATTGTAAAATTAAATTTTTTGAACATTGCAATTCCGAAAAGGTTAAGTAAGAAGATAGTTTATCATGTTTAAATCTGCAATTATAAATGAATCTTTTAACGTAAGCTAATGTTCTAATAAGTTTAGTAAATGATGATAATTTGTGAATCAACTGCGAAATAGAATTATTACAGTTACTCGTTTCATTATTTTTAACAGAGGTATGCAAGGAAGTTTCGGGTAAAGTAATATTCTGAGTATTAGGGGATGCGGGAAAAATAATAGTAGGATTGTTAAGAAATTCTGGTCCCGACAACCAAAGATCGGATGTGCTGATGATATCAGCCTTCGCCCCTCGGGATGCGAGATCAGCGGGATTTAACTTAGATGGCACATAACTCCACGTCTGACCTATTGTGGCTTCTTGTACCTCACAGACTCTGTTACGGACAAAACTGTTAAGTCGACTCGGTTGCGTAGAGAGCCAACCAAGCACAATGGTTGAATCACACCAGAAATAGAATTTATTAAAACGTAAGGTGAGTGACTTACGCACCTTAAGAAACAATCTCGTTCCCAACAAGGCGCCACACAACTCTAAACGGGGTATAGTTGTTGGCTTTATTGGAGCAATTTTATTTTTTGAGGCTAAAAGGCGAACGCAAACCGTTCCATCTTCGGCGACAGACCGAAAATAGATGCACGCGCCATAAGCGCGCTCAGACGCATCTGTGAAAGTGTGAAGTTCAATTAAAACGGGGTTTACACAAGAGACCCAGCGGGGTATTCGAATGGAATTAAGATGAGGAAGTAATGTGACGAATTGAATAAATGATGTTTTTATATCAGCGGGAACATCATCATCCCAATTACATTTTTGCACCCAAAGCTGTTGAAGTAGAATTTTAGCTTGCACAATGCATGGTGCAACAAGACCAAGGGGGTCAAAAACCTGGCTAACTGTAGATAAAATAATACGTTTTGTTATTTTATTTGAAGTTATAGATTGAATGGAAAAAAAGAGTTTGTCTAAATTAGGGTCCCAGAACAAGCCAAGTGTTTTACTAGGAGATAAATCATTTAGGTTAAGAGCTTTTTCTGAGCGCTGATTAATTAAATTTGTGACCGACTCCAAAATCTCCGTATTGTTAGATTGCCATTTTCGAAGATTAAATTTAGCTAATCCTAGTGTACTAACAACGCCGCGACATAACTCAATGACTGATGCAATTGAGTCTCCGCCGCTTAAATAATCATCCACATAAAAGTCACGTCTAATAGATTCGCTAACTTTAGGGTCCGTGCACTCATCAGCAAGGGACACCAAACACTTTGTGGCAAGATACGGAGCTGAAGCTGTGCCATAGGTCACTGTATTAAGAGTGTATGTTTTTAAAGGTTCAGAAGGTTCAAATCTAAATACAATTTGTTGCAACGACCGCTGGCTAGGCTCCACTAAAATAGCTCTATACATTTTTTCGACGTCGGCCGTTACGACAAACCTGTGCTGCCTGAACCGTAAAAGAAGCGAAAATAAGTCTTCTTGTACGGTTGGACCCACCATTTGGATGTCATTGAAGGACTTTCCCGAGGTTGTTGCAGCTGAAGCGTCAAATACCACACGTAGTTTAGTTGTGGCACTGGACTCGCGTACAACACCATGATGCGGCAAGTAATTATTATGTTGAAAGCGATTAGATTTTTTGTTTTCGGTCATGTGATTAAGTTGTATGTACTCATTAATAAATGTTAAATATTTTTGTTTAAAGGAAGTGTCACGTTCGAATCTACGCTCCAGTGAAAGAAATCGACGCTTCGCCGTAACATAAGAGTCACCTAGACTTTGAGGTGGGTCCTTCAATGGTGGTAACAACGAAACGGCCACTTTCGTCGCGCCGCGTTGTTTCTTTAAAGATTTTTTCGCACATCTGTTCCTCTAAGGAAAGGCTATGCGCGGTAGAAACGGAATCTAACTCCCAAAAGCGTGTTAGCTGTTCAGATTCTTCATGAGAAATAAAATGGCATTGGGAAGGCTGACTACGATAAGGTGACTGATAAACACAGCCTGAAAGAAGCCAACCCAATTTTGAAGAATGAAGCTTAGGTTTATTACTACCTAAGTTTATGTGTTTGGAACCTAGTACGGCCCAAAAGACTTCGGCGCCCACGAGAATGTCGATCGCCGAAGGTATATTAAAGGTAGGGTCCGCTAATTGAAGACCTGGCGGTATAGATATTTGATGGATATCTATATAAGAGCTAGGCAGCGAATTAGTGATTTTAGGTAATATAAAACAGTTAAGGCTCGCCTTGTAATCACCAAAACAAGACTGAATATTTAATTTACAAGTCTGTGAGGTACAGAAATTTGACCGTTAATACCTGTAACTGTGGAGCTAGTGTTGCATCTTACCAAACCGAGCTTTTCACAGAAGTCATCGGTGATAAAGTTTGATGTACTACCGTTATCCAATAGGAGTCTAGCAGTGTGAAGGCCTCCGTTGATGTCTGATACTTTTGCCAATGCTGTGGAAAGCAATACAAGAGCCTGATTATTATGGGAAGGTTTTGGTGAGGAGGAAACAAGGTTGGAAGAAAGTACTATACTGTCTACTTTTGGTTGCGTTTCTGATATTTCTTTGTGCAACAAGGTATTATGTTTAAATTTGCAATATTTGCAATGAGAAAGACTGCAACGCTGTGATGCATGGCCTGGTCGAAGGCAATTTGTACAGACTTTGCTTTCAGACACTTTTTTAATGCGCGATTCAACATCAAGGTCTCTAAAAGAGGGACAGTTAAACAGAAAGTGGTCTTTAGAGCACATAGGGCACGTTATTTTCTTAGAGTTTTGTGTAATTGTGTAAAAATTCTTAGATTTTGCTGTATTGTTGGAAGATGATGAAGAAGGCGTGAAAGAAATATTTTTATTATTGTCTAATGTTTCAAGAAGGTTTGCTCTATTCGACAAAAATTTAATAAATTGTTCTAAATTGGGTAACGCAAATAAATTATTTTTAAATTCTTCCCATTGCCGACTAGTTACAGAGTCCAATTTTCTGGACATTATGAATATAATAAGTGTATCCCAGTGGTGGGTTGGTTGCCCAAGTGTATTAAGCGCCCTTAAGTTTTTATTTGTTACGTCAACCATGTTACGCAATAACTCAGTACACTCTTTTTGCATTTTTGAAAATGTAAAAAGAGCCTGCAAATGATTATTTACTAGCAGCCTTTCATTGTCGTATCTCTCACACAATAACTGCCAAGCTATGGAGTAATTAGTAGATTTGAAATCAATACTTTTTATAATCAATGAAGCACTGCCTGTTAATGCAGCGCGGAGATAGTGAAATTTGTTAATTTCTTGTATGCTGTTATTATTGTGAATAAGGGAAAGATACGTATCTCTGAATTCGAGCCAGTGCTGATAGTCACCGTCAAAGTGAGGCAAGTCTATCTTTGGAAGCCTCACGAAGTCGTGCTTACAGACAGAGCCGACCGTCTGGGTACCGTCGTCGCTGAGGCCGGCGGTAGGTGCCGAGGCAGATGTAAGCTGCGAAAGCTGCGCACGGGCACGGGATACCTGCGCGTAGTATTGTACTTCGAACTGCTCACGCTCAGAATACGCCGCGTCTGGGTCCTCCGACAATACCTCTAACTCGGTCTGAAACAAGTCGAATTCACCATAAAGCGATTCTATCTTGTTAAGACGGAACTCTAATTCAGATAGCTGAGAAGGGCTTAAGCTGGTGCAAGGCTGAATTAAATTTAAATAAGTAGCAAATTGAGTAAGCTTTGCTTTTAAGCTTCCACGCTTTCTTACAAGTTCTTTTAATTTTGCGTCAGACATAGCGGTATTGAAAAAAAAATGTAGGTACACGAAAAATAGAAAAAAAAAATATAAAACTGTTGCAGGCGCAGCAAGTAGCAAAGCTAGCAAGAAGGCAAATAAAATTGAAAGCTGCTAAAACAAGCTCGCACTATAAGATAATATAAAGGAATATTAAAATTCAAAAAATACGTTCGGTAAGTTTAAGCTTTTAAAAGGCATATGAAGCAGGTTTGTGGCTATACAATTGAATAAAAAAGATCTAAGAAAAAAAAAAAAAAAAAACGATATCAATACAATGACTAAGCGGAAAAAAAACTAGGTTACGATAATTAATTATGAAGAAGCAATCGTTAAATCATATAGCACTATTTTAATTTCCTGGAGAAATAAAATTATTAAGAAAGGCAGGAAATATAAGGATTGGAACGGACTCACTCAGAATATGCTTTTGACCGCCCTTTAAATGTCCTCTAAAAGTTCTTCAAATGTCCGGCGGGTGGTATTGTCCAAAGTCCACGGGCAAATTGCACAGTAAATAAGACGGCTTTCTCTTTAAAACTCGAAGGACCAATGTTTGAATATCAAGCTCCGGTTAAATGGGAATTCTTGAATAATAAAAATCTTCAATAAAATGAACTGTGTATTTATAGTTGGATCGTTACAATGTTGAGAAGGCCGGTGTACGTGCGTTTGCCAGCGTGGTAGTGAGCGAGTGTCGCGTTGGTGGGGTCGCAATGCCGAGGTGCGCCTGCGATGACCGCTGTTGCTGTGGGATCGGTCCAGCAGCCAATGGCAACGCAAAACCGCGATGACGAAAACGCGACGTCAGGAACATTATCCACTTCGCGTTTTTCTAATGTGGGGCTGTTATTACTTCCCAAATGGAGCCTGCCCATTTGTGCAACAGTAAAGCTGCTGTATGGCCACAGCACGATGGTAACATTATACACTAAATACGACCAAAAGATATAGAGTATTCGGGCACATTGTTTCAAATTAAAAATTATCATTGACTGTGGTAGGGTCACGCAACACACTTCTCTGTTGCATGAATGGGCAGGTCCGTCAGGGTACCAAGACCTCAAAGAAGACCGGCGTGAATGGAATTTTATGCATTGCATCTGGTGATTGAGGTAGCTGAGGCCCCCTTCATTAAAAGGTGGCAAAGCCTCTGCAACGGGTGTTGCAGATGTCAATAAGCAGCGGTTCTCACTTGATATCACGTGAACTGCCAGCTCGTGTGCCAACTTGTCACATAAAAAAATTATCAGCCGTTTTTAAGCGATCGCTTTAAGTAAAATTTGATAAAATCAGATTTGCTTCAGAAAATACGCGATTGTGTACAGGCGTGTTGTATTATCTTAACAATAGCAATAGAATTTTGCGAGATAACAACCACGGGCTCGTCGAAGTGTTCTTAGGCAAAGCTTATCTTAATGGTTTTAAAACTTCATGTTTAAACGCCGTTAACTTAATGAAGTTGAATTGGGTTAATGCCAAATACAAAAAACTGATAGGTCTTCTTTGGTGATACTTAGAAGTAAACGAATATACGTAGATAAACAATCATGCCTCATATACCAGAGGTAGGCAAAAATAAATTTCCTTATCCCTTGATTCCGACGTATCTCTTTCTTTGAAGTTCCATCTATCAGGAGGAGGCAGGTACACTACCCACTGCGCCATTCGGCTCTTCTATATAAGTGACTACCTGTTAACCGCGGCTTCGCCCACGCGGCCAAAGGGAATTAACAATGATTTTTTTTTATTATACGCCAGAATATCTCGCAGATGACTGAATTTTGCTCTACTTAGTTGACACTTATCATTTTGGACAATTCATACCATGACATCTTTATAAATTATAGCCTATGTATTATTCTGATGCTTAAGCTATATTATTGTAAAGTTTCATTAAAATCCATTCAGTAGTAGTTGCGTGAAATTGTAACAAACATCCATCCATACATACAAACTTTCGCGTTTATAATATTAGTAAAGAAGAAGTAAAGAAGTGAAGAAGTAAAAAAGTAAGGGTAGTAAGGAAGTAAGGGTAGTAAGGGTGTACCCACCCGCGCCTTGTCGAGCTGCGAGAGCGCCTGCGCCTCCTTCTCTCGCCGCAGAGCCTCCTTGTCCTCGTCCAACGACAGCTCAGAGGACGGCTGCGAGTAGTTGGAGTCAGCCGAGCCCTGCAATATTGCAATTAGAGGCTTTCAAACACAGCCACGATCAGATAGATGCAGTCTTCATAAGACCAACGGTTGTTCACGGCCAACTGGCTGGCATGCGTTGCCTCTTTGAATTGTTCATGTGATTGTTTTATCAGTTTGGAAGCTACTAGGTTCACTTTCGCGTAACAACTCACCGAGGTTTCGTCGCGACCAGACGGGTGGTATAGGAATGCATCCGGGACAAACAGAGAAAAATATTGATATATATAACTGTGATGGCGCGATTACATTGTCCGAATATTTGTCGGGGAGTACGAGCAGATTTCAGTCTTATCATGACGGGAGAAGTTGAAAGCAGTGACATGTTGAAGCAGTGACCCCTGAATGGTTGTCACATAGAGCGTGTAGGTTCATTTATGTGAATGTACACTGAGGACGGTGCTAATCACTTTCAGAGGCTCGCATTTTTACCATGACATTAATCTAGGGAACCAGGTCGAAACACAATACTCAAAATAGGGAACAGCGCCCGAAAGCGCTTCGCTAGTTTCTTCGAGTCGTACATTTGTTGTTAAGACCGCAGAGTTTCACATAATCGATTTTCGTATCGTGATTAGACTAGCCTAAAGTTCAAAATTCCCAAGAAAAATACGAGTAGCCTTTTCTTCTCAGCGGCCCAACTATCTTATGCACCTATTAATTTGATAAAAATTTGTCTCTTTATTTAAATGCTTGTATCATTTATTTTGTTGGGGTAATATATTTCCTCCCAACAGTTGTACAAAGGCTTCCTGCATAAATAAAGATAAGCCTCAATCAAAATCAGTAAGAAAGTAAGCATTCACTGAAAGATAAACAATTGTCTCGTAAAGCATTTATCTATTTTCTAGTACATCAGTTGTATAAAATCCAAAATACCATAAATAACTGAACGTTTACATAAGAATATTTAATAATCTTCTTTTTTTAAGCATGTTCGTTACATAACTTTAGTAGGTGCCAATTGACCATGTGTTTGACAACGTTTTAAAGAACCAAATTGTTATTATTCAGAGCTCTACACCGAAAAATGGTTTACATTCACTTCAAATTAATAAATTACTGGTTAAGTTAAATTAATATAATATTCAGGCTACATACGAGTATCTAAACGTCGTATCTTTTAACCCTGTGGCGTTGGACAAATGAATGAAATATTCCAGCTGCAAACGAGCATCTGAAAGTATCTATTAACTCCGTGGTGTCGACAGAGATGCTCAAACTAACTATCCGCAATGGTGCCGCGTTAATACCGCAGCGAAAGTTCATTAGTTTCACGAAAAAGTATTTGGCACGCGTTCTCGCTTTGACTCCAATACCTACGGGCAGGGCGACTGATGCAGAGTTACAAATGCCATAAGCATGTATAAAGAAACACGCTATCTGAATACTCCTATTAAAGGTATGTTTTATACCTTAATATAACTATACGGCCTCAATTTTAAGATGTGAGGTAGTAAGAGATTTTTTGTTGTAATCAGTTAACTAAGTTAAACCAGCCAAGTGCGAGTCTGACTCGCGCACGAAGGGTTCCGTAACTTTATCTATAAAAAATCGCAAAAAAAAAAAAAAAAACAATGTTTGTGGTGTGGCAACCCCACTTAAATATTTTTTTTATTTATTGCTATAGCGACAACAGAAATACATCATCTGTCTAACTATCACGTCTCATGAGATACAGCCTGGTGACAGATGGACCTGGAGACAGCGGAGTGTTAGTAATAGGGTCGTGTTTTACCCTTTGGGTACGGAACCCTAAAAACATGTTTAACTTGACAGTATCACCTGAATGTCTTATTGTCATTATTATTATTATTATTACCATTTAGTATTTCATTTCCTATTACGTCTTTATAATAAAAATCTACCGCATTCAACGAAATAATGTTAACATAACTAAAGGGAGAGAAAAAAGAAGATACGAAGGAACGTTGAAACTCAAACATCCCAAAACACATTCAGACAAATTCTGAAAAAAAAAGAAAAAAAAAGTTAAAAAGTTATTTGTGGCGAAAATTGTTAGATACGAAAAAGGAACAAAGTGAAAGAAAAGCAAAAATCTTACCAAAGGTTTGTAGTGTGTCATTGGTCGATGGCGATGTGGCGTGTCGACTGCATGCATGCGATACGTAATATACATAAAAAAGTCAAGACATTAGAAGATCATGCCCATATTTTAAAAATACTTTTTAGGCCCATAATATATATAAATATCTATGGATAAATCGTAGAAACAAAAGCAACAAAAGTCATTAGTAAATAATGTCATTCGTACAAACGTAAAAAAGGCACTTGCAAAAATTTTTTAGTGTTGAATTTATATTGTAATAAACAAAAAATAACATTTACATATTACATGGAAATTTAAATAACAGAAAAAAGAATTAAACGGATGAATGATTTTAAAATAAATATTTAAACATAAGTTTTATAAATTAAAGCTCATCAAAGATTAATTTACATTATCTTATGCAAAATTGCAAAATAATGGAAAGTTAAGCTAGAATACAAAACTAAATAAACTGCTAAACACCACACAATAATAAATATAGCGTAAAAATAGGAGGAAGGCTTAACCAGATAAGCTTCTACCTAATCTATTAAATTAATCATAAGAGCTTACCCTAGCGTCTGCTATTACAAATAAGAACAAAACAAAAAGCTTAAGAAACCGTTAATCTCCATTCTCGTTAAAAAAACACCAGGACCTTGTCCAAATGGGTCGCAAAATGGACCCAGGGAATTATAATTTGAGAATTAAACTTTGAAAAATATATTAGTACACTTTATAATAATTAAAGGCCGTAATGACTTAATACTTGATGACATATGTTGCAAGCTTCACCAGCGGTGCTCAAACTGTCCGACAATTCATGCGGCGTGTGGTTTGAGAAGCACTGGCCAATTCCATTCACTCTCTCGCTGAACGATTGATGGAGGTGTTTGAGCGAGACTAGCCCCCGTTTCGGCGGCAGACGAGCGCGGATCGAAGCCGTGACGTCATCCCACACCCCCCGCACATTTTACCCCCCTCACCGCGAGATATTTCGGCTTTTATTGCCCGCCGAATGTTTCGTGTTCCATAAAATTCCCCCTATAAAGCCCCCGCTTCCGCGATTGAGGTTAAGTTTCGATGATTCTATGCAGGTATGAACTTTTAATGCAGGTAGCGTTTTCTATCTCTGTCTGAATTTTTCCCAGTTTAATAGATTTTTCGTTGGTGAAAAAATTCGGTCCAATAAAATTAATAATCTGGAATAAATTATAAAAGTTTTCCTCTTCGAAATAGTACCAACGATATGTTTCCAAATAAAGGTAACATATAGTTTGAGGTGGTGCATAGCATTTCTTAGTTGTCAAAGCACTTAGAACATTTCTTCCTATGGAAAAAGTTAATATTTATCATGTTAATATTTATTATGTTAAACTACTACTTTATACTTATCATGTATACTTTAAAATAAAAATTATGATTACATATAAAAAAATCATATTCTATATGCTCATGACTTCCATTAATTATTAAATAAAAATAACCGATTAAAATAAAATAAATATCTATAAGAAAATAAAACTAAAAATAAAATAAGCGTCTATTTAATCGCATCTTGTGTTTCCTTGTGTCGTCTTTACGAAAATAATTACACCTGCATCACAAGCGAGAATTTTTGTTGCGCTTTGTTTCATCCGTGTCAATATCCTTTTGATGTATTGTAATCGTACAATGTATCTTTAATGCAGTTACTTAGTCTATCTAATTTAATTAGTCTATCGAACACCTCAGTTCCTAGACTTTGAGTCGTACAATAGGCTTCGACGTGTTGAAATTCATTTTGGTTTTGGTTTTTTTTTTTTTAATTTCCTTTTTTTATGTGGTGGCAAGCGAGCTGGCGGTTCACCTGATGTTAAGTGATACCTGCCGCCCACGGACATTTGCAACACCCGTAGGGTTGCAGACGCGTTGCCACCTCTTAATAACGTGGGCCTCTGCTACCTCACTCACCAGACGAAACGCAGAGGTGCAGCACTTCTACTTTGCGCCGGTGTTTCTGTGAGGTCGTGGTACTTCCCCGGACGGACCTGCCCATTCGTGCAACAGCGAAGACTGTCGCGTCGCCCTACCACCTACTTGAAATCAAAGGGTTGCGCAAAACTGTTACGCGCCTTTCTACATCAGTACCACTTACAGAGTGCTAAAAACCGGCCAAGTGCGAGTCGGACGCGCGCACTAAGGGGAACCCGTACCATTATGAATCAAAACGGCAAAAAATCATGTCTGTTGCATGCACTTAAATATTTTTTTAGTATTTGTTGTTATAGCGGCAACAGAAATACATCATCTCTGAAAATTACAACTGTCTGAATATCACAGGTTATGAGACACAGCCTGGTGACAGATGGACAGACAGACAGACAGCGGAGTCTTAGTAATAGGTTCCCGTTTCATCTTTTGGGTACGGAACCCTAAAAAGCTTAACACTCGTAGGTTCAAATATGTGATGTTTACACATCACTTCACTCTAACCAAAAATATTAGTTGCAGTGTTAATAAACTCAAACAATTCTTGTGTTCATCGTACACAGCTTTCATATAAACTTACTGTTTGTTTGTAATAAATATAACAAGGCATAAATTAAAACAGACTACTGGATACCGATGAAAGCTTAAATGGATGTTAGGTATTTGAGTAACGAATGTTATTATTAAATTTATTTCCAGAAGAGCTGTTCCAATTCTAAGAAGCTTCTCGCATTGCATCTGGCTCACATGCAGATTTTTTTATTACGATGAATACTACCTTTACCCGCGCTCGCCTCCCGTGCTCTAAGGCTTCTAGTTATTCCATCTAAATGTATTGTGAAACTTGGCCAGAAAAGGTTATCACTAAATAGTATTAAATAAAGTCGTCCCGCTGTCTGTCTATCCCTATGTCTGCTTAGATCTTTAAAACTACGCGACGGATATTGATGCGGTTTCTTTTAGTAGTTAAGAGTGATTCAAGAGGAAGGTTTCTATGTATAATACATTGCATCCGTGCAAAGCCGGGGCGTGTCGCTAGTACTTATTAAATAAATCAAATGAAAAACACACTGATTATCGAGTTACAAGCGCATACTTGAAAACTATACCCGTGAGGTAAAGGTTTTATTTCCTCCAATCCCCTCGAACCTTACTATTAATCCATGTCAATAGATCACGCTTGATACCTTTTTCTGAGTCTTTGTTTCTAAAACTCATACAAGATTTTCAATCACACATTTCCTTTGTGCCTAACGCCGACGATTCGAGGTCGTCATGGTATTCGAGTTAATCTGCTTTTAATCACATTTTTTCATCAACAACGTATTAAATTTGTACTAGTACACGATATTTAGAACAGAAACATTAAATGTACATAATATAGTTTTAATTATACTTGACACGGAGCAGAAAACACTGCGTAATTTGTACACAAACAGTTATTTAGCTAAGTGCCTGAGCTCATACATTAACACATTCATAATCCTTTTGCTGTGCTAATTTTTATACTGTTTTTAACGACCGTAAAACGAGCCATTTTCATGTTTCTATATTACTGGCTTGGTTTTAATAGCAACTGTTCCATTAGTTTAGCAAAAGCCCAGTTAGAGTAAATATACTCAGAGTATCAGTTTTTTTTATTTATCTCATAATTAAGTGACGGGTAATATAAAATTTTTGAAATGAATTTTCAAAATGATTTTCATATCTTTGAGATAATACAAATAAAAATATATATTTCGGAAATATCTGAAGTCTACCAATCCGCAGTGGCGTAGCGTGGGGAACGGCCTTTGCTCAGCAGTGGGACCTAAATTACCTTTAGAAAACACTATAATTATTAGAAAGCGGAAAAAATCGATTTGGCATAAAAGGAAAAGTGGTCACAAATGAGTTATCGAAGTAGTCACGGAACGACCTATTTACGAGTCACGAAAAACTCGCTAATTGATTTATATTGACAGAGTACATTTATTTAGTGAAAAAGGGTGGTAAGGTCAAGTAGGGGACGTCCAGAACGAAAGTATATCGATCAAATAGGTGAAGCGAGAGGGCTCTTAAAAAGTACCCCTTGTAAGCGAGGTATCAGGGTCACGGAAAGGGGGAATACCCGGCAATCCTACCATTTGAGAGCGCAACGAATACTGTCTACATAGCATTTATGTTAAGCAAGCCACTCGCTATTTAACTTTAAATGATAAAAAAATATTACAGTTTAAATCATAAAGGGCATTATCTCACTGCTATTGTAGGGGGGTGTAAAGTTTTTAATTCACGTAAAAATTTATTACTTCTGACACAATTTCAAACTTTCAAAAAGATCCCTATCATGTCGTCTTATGATCAATTCAAGGCTGGAAAAATTAAGGAATTGGCCTTACAAAAGTTACACGATATGCCTTATTTCTTTCAAGCGTGTGCAGGCTTATCTTTGTAAGTACTTTGGGCTCGAGAATAAGAACGTTAAACGGAAATGCTCAAAGCTTTGCATTTGTAACAAAATAGGAAACCGGGTCGCGTCATTATCTATGTATTTTGTGTGGAAGGGGTTGGGTTGGTTGAAATAAGTCTCAACGAGCGCTGACTCGCTATATATAGTGGGAGCAGAGGCTGGAGCACCCCAGTCCCGGCCTAAGAACCATAGAGGCCATACGTCCGGTACTCAGTCGGTGGCTGGACAGGCGTCACGGCACCCTGTCGCCTACCGGGCGACGCAGGTTCTCTCGGGTCATGGTTGTTTTGGAAGGTACCTGTGCCACTTGGCGGGGAGAGAGCCAACAGCGGTTTGCCACAACTGCGACGTATGTGCCGAACAGACGGCCCAACACGCACTGGAGGAGTGCCCAGCCTGGCGGGAGCAGCGCCGAGAGCTGATGGCTATCGTGGGGCACGATCTCTCGCTACCCGCCGTAGTCCGCGCTATGGTGGATAGCAAGAGGTCGTGGGGTGCCGTCCTTGCATTCTGCGAGGACATAATCACCCGGAAGGAGACCGTGGAGAGAGAAAGGGAGGCAACTGCCACCCTGGAAATCCGCCGTCGGAGACCAAGGCGCAGGAGGCTGGCCTACACGCGCAACCTTCCCCCTGATAGCAAGCCCCGGGGCAGCAGATGTGGGACTAACTGCTGGTCAGCGGAGGGCTTGAGAGGGGTGCCGTGCTCATTGCACCGACACGGCACCATTTGGCTGGATCGGGTATCTAAGCACCCGGGGAGAGGAGGCCTGAGAAGGTTCGCGCCGGGGTTCGCGGAAGATTGCGTTTTAGTGTTCCCGTGTCCCCGGCAAAGCGACAGCGCAGGTGCAACGTGGGTTTTTTAGTGGGTACCCCGTAACTCCCACATACCCCTGATACCTACCCACAAGGTGGCGGGGGATCCATAAAGGATTTTTCCCAAATGAAAAAAAAAGAAAAAGTCTCAACGACCACTTTCTCTCCTGCCTCCAATGGCCTTTCGTCAGCGAACTCGGGGGAGTCTGTTGGCCGTGAAAAAGGGGCAGAGTGGGAAGGCACGCTATATATTCCAGCGCGCTTCACCTGGAGGAGAGGGGAGTTGCTCCCCGGGAGGAGGCTGCTGAGGTGGCCAGTGCTGGCTTTCCCGTGGCCCTGCCGATATGCACCTAGGTGGAACATCGTGGCGGTTTTATTCGGTGCGAGTCCGACCATAACACGCTCTTGCCCCCGCGAAGGCGGGTATGCGTAGGCATTTCCCTCACGTCAACAAAAAAACATGTCATAACGACCACTTTGACCCTTCGAAAACTTTGCCTCTTTACTGTAGGACAACATTAAACTGTGGAGACGTTTAACATGCATAAATTTCACGTGGATAAGCACCCAGAACCGAAACATATATCTGTGGGTCACACAACTAGTAGTCTCGTGTTGTAATCGAACCCTGCACCGATGCCATCCCTTGGCAACTGCGTCAAGGACTCATCGTCATGTAGCATCGTCCGTGATGCTACATGACTATGAGTCCTTGATGCAACCGTTAATCACTTAACGGTTGCTTTTCGACGCATATAACACAAATAAACCTATTAAATACTAGCTCCAATTCGATTTATTTTATTTCGACTCATAAAGATTATGCTGAAACTTTTTGATAGTATATTTTTATTGTTCATGAAAATGATTTTAAAATTTAAAACGTAACATACGTTTTAGATACTGGAAATAGCCAGTTTGCTCGAATAACATAAATAAATTAGTCATCACTGTCCTGTGACTTCCTGAGCTTGATAAACGTACAACAGTGACTTTCTCTTTTTATTATGAAATATTTCAGTACGATTAAGTTATCCTGTATTGTAAGGATGTGCAACGTGCACAAAGTTCATGTGAACACACACCCAGATCCGGAACAACTATGTTCGAGACGCACAAATATTATGGCCCGTGTGGGAATCGAACCTATGACTTCAGGGTCTAAAAATAGCTCAATAGCTGCACCGTCGAGTCCTCAATTCTCTGTCTAACCTTTACCGTTAAAAGAACGAGAGCTTGTATATGTGAATGTGTTTCAAACTGCCTTTGTAAAAAGTGTCCGCAGAGCTTCCAATAGATCGCATCAAAGTGGCATCCACGTACATTACAAACAGACTCGCGTGTTGCATTAACAATCGGCAGATTCCTCACAAGACTGACTTTGTTGGAGAGATGTGATTTTTTAAACCTGTCACTACAAAATCTTAACAACGGACAAAGCTTCTTGTATTCAAATCAAATATGAGCAATGTATCTATAATTCTGAGCTCGGTAAGGCATGCTTTAAAAAAAACACTCAACAAAACAACTTTTTGCAATTAGCTAATCCATGTTCAATTTGGTATAAGATAGAGATGGTAAACAATTAAGCCGCATATTTTCTTCGCTCGATCTATTGCGATGGATGGTACGAATCAATTGAGGTTACGGAGCATTGTCTAAAGTTTATTGTAAGCGTTGCAATTGTTAGATTGGTATATTTCAGTTAAGTTTCAATTGAAATGATTCAACTAATGTTATGATTTAGTTTTCTAACAATATCTCCCCCCTCCGATTTAAGTATTAACTTTGTGCAGGGAAAATAGTAATCCATTTACTGCTAAAGTAGTAACGCTGTTCTAGGTGGGTAAAATAAATTAATTTTCAATCGATAACGCAAAGGTTAACTCCTACGCATATATTTATCCTTAGCGATGCAAATAACGTGCACTGAAATGAAACAAAACTAATGCTTCACGTAGCGCTAAATGAGATTAAATGGAATCAAACCGATGAAGTGATTCAACATGAATAATCTACGCAACAAACATTCTTGAACAATGTTAATATAGATGGACGTTATGCTGAAACTACTAGCGTCAGCTAAAACGCATTAAAAAAATTAAACCTCTCCCAAACCAATTTTTCGACAGAAAAGTTAGCCGACGCGCCGCGTAACGCACTCGGTTAAACAACTGAAAAATAGAAGAGAAAACACAACCGATATAACCACACCAAACAAACAAACGACGCGTAGACGGTTCTCGAAAATCCAATCCACCGAAATGATTCTCAATTAACTAACGGCGGATGCGAAACTTAAACAAAAACAAATGTACACAATACGTCGAAAAATAACCGTGCCTGAGTCAAAGGCACATACTGCGCCTTGGAAGTAATGTAGTATTGATTTGCATTTTAATAGAAAACGGTAGACGACCACACGCGAACAACAAAGGGAATTGTGCATGAACGTTGTGATGAGGTACGGCGTCTTTTGTTAATCTAATTTTACCGGGTAAAAGACACATAAATGGAACCACGAACTCAAAACGAATCACCGTACATTTACCAAGATTACACAAAGTAACTAGAAAGTAGATATGCAAAAAATAATCCGCTTTTATTTTTATTTAAGTTAAGTCTGTTATCCCGTGGCGCACCTGCGTGAACAGCTTGTTGTACCCGTTGCCCGAGTGGCCGTTGTAGCCCATAATGTTGCGGCATGGTGGCAGCTGGTGGCCGCTCTGGACCACCAGTGGGATCGCGTCCGGGTCGGCCGTGGTGGCCACGCGGCGGCGCGCTCGACCGCCGGCCGCGCGTCGACAAAACCGATTCCACGCCGCCCCGCCGCCCGCCTCGGCTCGCCTCGCGCCCGCCCGCCCCAGGGCTGCGACTCGCGCGAAAACGGCAAAGCGAATGCGAACGGAAAATCCCATAGGCCACACACTGTTACGTTCACGTGTGTATTCAATCCACCCTAAATGAAGAACTAACCTTGAGGATTAATCTTTTGTCGTTGCTTCCGTAAGTTTCATATATGCGGAACGCGATCAGTTTTGGAGTGTATTTAAAAGAAGAAATGGCTGTCTGTTATGGGTACTGCAAAGGTTTCCTATTGTAACACCGTTTTGATGGTTTAAAAGTTGCTTAACATTTTTTTTGTTTGTCTGTTTCTTTAAACTGAGAAGCGGAAACATTTCATTATGAATTAATTTACGTATGGATACCTTGATACATCGAAAATAACGAGATATAATTACAAATAACTATGATTGCCAACGCCGCTTTGATGAATGATCGTTGGTTAAAAACTTTTGTTCAATGGCTGCACTGTTATTGCTTAAATTAACCCACAGAAACGAATCATTTTCGTATGCCATACGACTTATATTTCTGTTTTCTATAAGAAAGCTGGTAATCATCATTACTAAATATATTTAAATGATATTTTAAATAGTGGTTATGTATAAATAGATTAAATATACTATATTTTATTTATTTATTTTTATATACTGGCTCCGGTTTTCAAATGTACGTAGTATGTGTACAAAATTAGTCTGGGCCGCTACGATTTTTTATATTTACGTAATTAAGTTTTATTTTTTTACGAGATTATGATATAAAAAACGTAAATCCCTATTTACGTTGGAAACGAACGTAAACGAAACCGTGAATTCGCCGCCCGCGAGTGGCAGCCCTGAGCGCGCGAGTCCTGCCCGCCCCGCCGCCCGCCCGCCCCCGCCGACCGGTGAATGAATTGCGCGCGCACCGTCATCCGGCATTACTATTGGGCCGAGGTTTCGATTGATTCGGAACAAAGAATGTTCAGTTCACGGAGCCCGTTAAACACTATTTAATCTACGTAGGTTTCCACACAGCGGAATACTTTTTTTTTTATTTTTTTTTATTGAGCAACAAAATAGTTCATACATGCTGGCAACCGAGGCCACTTAGGAAGAAATCAGATAAGTAATATTTCAACCTTTTCTATTCCCGCGATATGGAATGTAACATATTGGCGATTAAAACTTAAAATTAAATGCATTTAAAATTGCGTTTAAAATCAGTTTCAGCGTTATTTTTTTCCATTTTGTTTAAACAACTGAAAAGAAATCATTTACTTGTTAAAAACAATTCAAGTCGTATTTTATGTGTTTTATTTTTATGTATTGATGTTACGAGATGTATTGTGTTTCATTATTAAATAAGCGCCTTTTACAATAAAGTCAATTAGGAAAATGTTATCATAACTTTGTTTACAGTCGCAAACATAAAGTATAAGCCTGCTAAGAGTATTTCGTGGCGTCGTAGTCATCATAGCGTAGAAAGAAAATTGTTAAGTTTACAAACGCAACAAACAATGTGGTATCGGATAAACAATGATATAGTATTTCTTAAGCATTGATATAATTTTTATACTTTATTAATTTATAAAAAAATGTTAAGCGTAAGAAATCATGTCACTAACACATCAAAGGGGCGTGCCAGGACCTGGGCAAGGTCTTTATGACTTTCCTATAATGGGGCCTGTACCGTTGACCTATTTAATCAACTTCCAGAGACAAACACATAGCATGTTCCATGTATTAAGTAAAACCACCGCAAATGATGACCAGTAGATAAGTTCATAATTGCTTACGACACGGCAGCACAACGTTATAATGTATTACTCCTTCAGAAAGCAGATTATAAACTCTACTGCTTGGTAATAGAGCTCAAAATCATGAGACGTAAGCCGATGACTAATCAAGTTACACATAGAAATGGAAAAGAGTCGCTAACGCTGACAGAATAAGAGTGACGATCCGCGAAGCAGGACATTCGGTGCAGCGGTTGGCTAATATCACAATGGACGGATGAAATTGTACCTAGTCACATATGACTTAAGGTCGGATTTCGCGCTGCCCACGTGCGCATGCGCGGATGACGGATCGATTTTCGGCGCCGCGACGGCGACGTCGTTGACCCACTTGACGGTGCGGTGGCGGATTGCCGAAAGAGGAGTTGCCGCCTTCGTTAGCGGGTTCGTTCCCGCTCTACGCGCGGTGGTAGGGCCACGCAGCAGCCTCGGCTGTTGCACGAATCGGCAGGCTCGTCCGGACCATGGACCACCTCACCAGACCGGCGTGAAGTGGAAGTATAATATTTTTTTCGTCTGATGAGTGAGGTAGCCGGAGCCCAATTTCCAAAAAGGTTGTCAACGCATCTAAACCCTCTGGTGTAGCCGTATATAGCCTCCACGGGTGGCGGTATTCACTTAACATCAGGTGAACCGTCTGCTCTTTTTGCAACTTTTCACATAAAAAAAAGACGCAAGAAAGCTGAACAGTATCAAAAAACAGAAACGAAAACATAAATTCTTAAAAATAATGATCAAAACATCACAAAGATAAAAACGCCAAAAATTAAATAAACAGCAGCTACAAGACAAGAAATGTTGAATAAACAAAACACCGTGATTTTAGTGGAGCTGGATTATGGTAATGCTATGGTGATTGAAAAAGTGAGAAAGCATTGAAACCTTCGAAAACGGGCACAGCTGCGGCCCATAGGAACACTTGAAGGCCAAGGTCAAAGGCTCGAATAAAGTCTTTTCGTTGTTTCGAAATCTCACTTAACCAATTCTTTCCTATAAGATATCTCTTCCTGACGTCTTGGCTATAACAATAACAATTTTGTATAATACCGAGCGGCATTGCATGAAAATAAAATAGGATAGTGAAAAAATAGGGCGAGATATCGACCTTGCAGGGGCAATTGGAGATTATAAGTGAAAGATCTTAAATTAATTATGAAATATGTTGGGGTTTTGTTTCAAAAATTAAAGCGAATCACGGTGACTTTGGATCTTTTTTAACAATTCTGTATTTGAGTGCACGGACAAAGTGTGACATTTGGCATAGTTATAATATTTATATAAGGAAGAACTGTAGAAAACTAAAAATTATATACAATATACATATTTTACAAATACACAAAATAATACATACATTGTTTACGTTGATACTGATATTGGTAAACACATAATAAATAGTCTATTTTCAAATAGTGTCCAGCGTAAAGATTGACTCTTAAGAAATTTAAAGTGGCTGATGACTTAGTTTTAACATAAGTGTAATGCAGTAAATTGATTGAAATTACGGGCGATTTCAACAAACAGACGCCAACTAGTCAGGCTGTTAAAGCGAAGGTGGAAGAAAGAGAGGAAATGAGTCGTGCAAATCAACATGATACTGTTGAAAGTATCAATTCAATTTAAAAAAATTAAATTGACTCAACTGGATCAACTCAAGTAGTACACGAGGCTTGTTACGAGTACAATTGATAAATTGCAAAGATCAATTGGACACTCCGTAGAGAGAACAAAACAAAGATTGATTTTAACATTTCAACATTGTATCATTAATAATCAATTCCATTTTTATGAAGTAGTAAAGTATTGCTAGCCTTTAGAAGGAACGAATTGGCTTTTTCCTTGAAGGGTCCAAATAAAAAATACCACTAGTGACATCTTACCCCATAGAAGACGCAGAAGAGAAAGTTGCAGAAGGTATCGTAACAAGCTCACTTCCAACCATTAAAGTGGTATCGGTACGAGTAGTATAAATACTAAAATTGAAAACAACTACGTATCAAAACATTAAAGTGATTTATCTGAACAATTCCTTAGCGCGTTCACTGCGGTGTTCGCGAAAGAAAATGCCACGAACTGCAACATCTTTTCTCAAAGCCAAAGGTTCGAGTAAATAGAAGATACCTTGGTAGTGGACAAGCCTGACGTTGAATGCGGTTAAATGAAAGAAATTTGTTTTAAAACCGTCAGCAAGTTAAGAAGAGCGTTCTGATATCTTAGAGAAGGCTTCGGTACACTTCTGTAGTACGCATGAGCAATCCTTGGGCGATAAGATCAAATGCTGCTGTCCCTACCTGATAGATATAAGTGGACCATCGGGTCTCCACCCTGACCGGCCATTGACCCGTTGTCTTCTTTTAGTTGTCTTTTATGAGTAGCAGGACTTTACACCTAATAACTTAGCCCTATTCTACGGGCCAGCTTATTCAAGGCTCAGTACCTACACCAATAAACGCTTGCTAAATATGAGAACAGGATTACATAGAAATGTGTAGCTGAAGCTGAGCTTTATATTGAGTAAACCGGCAGGAGTTACTATTTCGCACTACTGAGGAGACCTGCTTTATAGAAGACCACTTAGATTTCTATTCCAAGTGGCTAAGAAATAGAAGTCTTTTTTGACTCTTTTAACTCTTTTAAAGACTGACCAAAACAAACATTCATCATGATTTTGACTGTAGTAAATTGAATTTGTGGTCTTATAAAAATTTGTCACATAAGATCGACGGAATGTAGATAATCCTCACAGAACACAGTATTTATAGCATTCCTACGTGTTAAAGAGAAACGTTTCCATAAATATGTTTAGAAATATTCTATAATATTTAGAAATGTTTGTGTGATGTTGTTTATAAATATTCTATAAAATTTATGTCCTGTAGTGCCTATATTTTAGGAAGATTTATTACTATATTTGATACAATGAAAAAAAAAATACTAAATGATGAAAAGCTATAAAACACATTTAAGAAGCTAAAGAATAAAAGTCTAAAAGTGCCAATGTTAAAAAAATCTTTCGTCAATGATTCGAATCTGCACCGTCCAAATTACGGGTCCAGGTACTCTAAGGTTTTGTATCGGTTTGTTTATGAATACGTTAAAAGAATCTAACAGACTAGTCTCTTAGTCATATTCGATCAGTACAAACAAATTGCAGAGGATAAAGTTTCTCAACAAAAGCATTATTAAAACTAATCATAATTTGCTTGTTCATAATCTTATTAAGTGGGGTTATAGCTAACCATTTTCTGGAGTGATTTAAACCATATTACGAGAGACCCCAAAGTGTAGTGATTCATCATCACCATCATTATTTCAACCTGTTTCTGTCCACTGAAGAACTCACGTAGACTGCCAGAAGCATGAGCCGCCTGCACTTCCCGGCTTTCTAAGAGTAGTGATTAATGGTTGTGAATTAAGACTTAACGGCTAGCGTTCAAAGATTTCACTTGGCGCCTATTCTCTTTTTAATTTATATAGAAATTTTTCCCATCTTTTTCTTTTTATTATAGACATTTTTCCCATCGAGCATACCGAATTTTTTTTATTCGTTGTTTATAAAAAAAATATCTGTGTTTCTTTCGCCGATTCTTCTCAGGTCAATCAATAAGTAAGTATAATACTTCGATACTGAATAAAGATTTTGGAATTTGAATTTGAATTTGACCTGATTAATATCCAGGATACGTCTTAGTTATGTTAGTAGGATTCTTAAATAGAACTACATTAGACATTAAGCAATCATTGAACGAATGAATTTTATACATATAATAGCTGAGGGTGCAATTGTCTTTGTTTTGACAGTGTCACATAGAATCCAGCTTATAACCCACCCTCCCAATGAATTGCAAGTGTACAACGCGACTTTCACGCCATCTACCGTCTTGTTCACGTACTACGAGTATGTGTTTGAGTTTCGTTTAACATATTGGGTTCGATTATTCATTTAACATATTGGGTTTGCCAACACAAATACTGAAAAGCTGCAAGAGTTTCATGAAGTGTGTCTCCTCTTCACGACAGTGACCGATCGAGGGAGAAATGCCGACTGTGGCAAGAAAGTGTCAATGTCCCTAGCCCCTTCGTCCCATGGCTGATTTGGAAGTCATTAAAAAGACTTCGGAAGAAAGTCGGCCGAAGTAAAGAAAAACTGTTCAGGTGGGGATTCTAAGATGGTTCCAACTTGGAGTGCAAATGTGGTGGTGTTCCCCAAACGATGGAACATTTGACGTCGTGCCCTGCGTGCCCAACCAACTGCACGGAGGAGGACCTGATGAATGCTGCTGACAGGGCAAGTCATGTGACTGAATTTTGGGCCGATACCGTGTGAATAGGTATTGCCAGCGATACGAAAAGAAGATTAATTTAACATGATAACTTTACGAAACCATTATTATTATACTAGCTCCTGCGCGCGACTGCGTCTGCTTAGTAGCTGAAGGCGTAACATTCAAACAGAAAAACAGATATACACGATAATGTGTATAAATTATACCCTGTGTCTTATTCTGATGTATAAGATATATTATTGTAAAGTTTCATTAAAATCTATTCAGTGGTATTTGCGTGAAAGAGTAACAAACATCCATCCATACATAGAAACTTTCGCGTTTATAATTTTAGTAAGGATTAATATTAACGATTTGTAATCTTTAATATTAAAAGCGGTTTATGTTTAATGTCGATAGCAAGGTGCCACTTTCGTTACAGCATATTAGCAATGCTTGGCGCCATCTATTGTGCAAAGTGAGCTCATCGGCTGTTTATCTTTGTTGCTTAAGGCGCGTTAACAGGAAGCACGTAGGATCGATGCCAGCAGTGCCGGAAGCTCTTGCTCATTTATCATCAAAAACTATAATTTTAAGTTTCATCTTAAGAGACTAGGGCTAGATGAAAAGTAACGAATTAAATTATTCGTTATTTTTTTTATAAATCAACTAACAGCTATCAATACAGGAAATATCCAATGCGATAGTGAAGTTCAAATACAATTTAATAAACTTAACCTTAAGGTTACGCTGTGTCGGAAGACAAAAAAGTATGTATACTTATGTACGCACGTAAGAAGTTACTTCTTTAGCGACATCAGAAAAATAACTAAAAATGCTATACCCTGTGCCACTATTCTTGTGTCAAAAGACATTAAATGTAATTGATAATGGTTTAATAACTAGGAATTATGGGTAAAGGTCAAAAAGTTGTTAATATTTACCATGGTAATACCGTGGCGTCGGTCGAAGTTTGTCGATTTAACTGACTCCATCATTTCGCTTTTCAGCAACGAAGAATATAAGTCTCATATTTTTTTCCAAACGCGCCTAAAGTAAGTCAGTACCGCTTTAAAACGTCGACCTCAACATTATTCACGATTAGTCAAACACTATTAACGTTCAAACATCCGGTACCTACGCTTGTTGAAAGCATTAAAGAGTCATAGAATAGTGGAGTACTCTCCGTACGCTTTCTAAGAAGGAGGAATTTCTGGAATTCCACACATCCGCGACGTCGGTCACATTGCGATGGCAATGCGTTCAAAATCTATTCCCGTCCAAACCACCAGTTCCGGTTCGCGGATGGCGCGTGACTCGGCGGACGGCCCCTCGGAGTGTTGTGACCTGGAAGACGGGTTCGAGGTCGGCGGTTCACGGCTACATCGATGTCGAAGTCTCATATACTTTACAGGAAACCCGACAGCAAATAATAATTAAAATGGGAAGCCAATAAAAAATCTTCACGAACAAATGGTTGAGTGCGCAGAAAATGTGTTTACTATAAAACAATGTTCGTCAAAACGCCACCAAGGAGATACGAGTAAGTAGAGCGTAAAATTTTATCAAACGGTTAATCTAAAACTCTTTTTTGAACAACTAGCAAATTAACAGTAAATTAACAGTGGATCTTCCGCTCTTCGTTAGGTTCGAATCGTAAAGGCTCACTAAAATGATCTTTCAGCTTCTATTGTTTCCCACGGGCCGAAATCAATACCTGTGCCCGATCTATTGAGACAGATAAACTCTCTTTCGGACAAGTAATAATAAATAAACAAATGCAAAGGAGCATGATATTGCATTGCCATCCTTTAACTGGGAGTTCCTCAGGTACATTACTCGTCGGAGGAAGTGGAAAGTTGTGTATAAACGGTCTAACTTTAATGAGGCTGTTGTAATTCTCCGGTCAAGCTGTAATGGAACAACGCTACCTCAGTAAAAAAAACGAATTTAATTATCTCATTCACTAAGAATTTTCTATTCGATTTTGGGGAGTTCCCTGATGTATATCTGGACTTCGAGGTCCAAAAACAATGAAATTAATATGGGACCACATGGGAGCTCAACCGAATCCAATGAAAAAAATAAAAACTCTATATATTTGTTTATAAATGACGGCACCGTGTAAAATGGGCCTTAAGACGTGAAACTTTCAACAATTCAAAGAAACACTTATCCTGGACTTGCTATTTATTTTAGTAAAAGCAAGCCTTAAGCTAGGAAATTAATTAATTGTTAGTCATATCTAACAACTTTTTAACATATGATATAACATATTGAGGACCATTTTCGCGACACTGTCAGTTTCATTAATCTCTTGTTATTTATATTAACGGACTTTAGGGAATATACACAACGGTTGATCAATTTTCTTAATCAACAGTTATATTCTAACCAGAAGCTTTTGTTTTATTGGATATCGAAAAACACATTATGCTCAGTGCATCATCAAAGTCAGACGATACTTATTATTTTATTCCGTGCAAATGCACTTTAGTAATGCATAGAAATAGATGCAGATATTCTCTACTACTGCTCGTACCTTTCGAGCACAGGAATTGGCAGCAGCAGATAAATTTTCATTAATCGATGCTGACACGATTCTTTTTGAAACATTCACCGAAACAACAAGAAGAATACATAATTTCGAGCAAGTCATTTGTGTATATAAATATCGCATTATGACTCACCCATTCATCATCGCCAAACCCATGTTATTAATATGATGGGTACTGGTCAAAAAGCTTATAGTCTTGTACCTACAATCGAGAGATTTGCCATTGTTAATTTTTTTTATTCCCAACTATTCTCCATCATAAGTTTTGTAATGCATTTAATAAAACGGAAGGATCATATTTTATTTTCCTCAATTAAGCGTAAAACATTCAGGTGTTTTTTTTATCTTTTAAAACGAAAAGACGAAATGTCAGTTCTTATTAAGGTAATTTTTAATCCTTAAAAAATTCAAGTGCCACATTTAACCCAGTAGGATAAAGAAATTTCTAGTTTCTGACCAGTATTGGTTATTGAGTGTTGGCGAGAAGAGTAATTTCGAGCCATTACTTCTTAAATAACGTGTTTTTAATAGTTGAAAATATTGTCACCATTTTATTAAACGATGATGAACTTTTCATATTAAACCGATGTATATAACGCGGACCAAAATACTGCCCAATATTAGATGTTTTCGCAAATGCAACAAAGAACACGTATACAGATAAAAACTCAGACAAACGTCATTAGCAAAGTGATAAATCGTTTAAAAAAATATGCGACTAAACAGCCATGTATAAAATTAATTTACACTAATTGACAACACAGACTATTAACTAAAAAGAACGATATCTAATAATTTTGCAGCGTATATATTCATATACAGTCACGCCGTTGCACAAAATATGCAGAATTCCAATCGAAAGACGAACATCTGTTGCAGCGTCTCCTTACAAACACCGAGGGCGGCGTAGAGGTGTGAGAGGCAAGAGGGAGGGGGAGGTGTAGAGAATATAGTAAACTAGTAAACGCACCCGTCTCCTGCCGATGGCGTAGCGCTGCCGTTTGAAGCGGTCCATTGCGATTGCACCGGCCTTCGTCATAACACTATCATCTCTGCCACCGTACCACTAACTGAACTGCCACCACTGCCACCGTCCACTATGGTTCGCCTTTCCCTCTCGCCTCGATCGGCTGCAACGTGCGTCGGGCTGGCGAGACGCGCGGACACTCGCTGCCCGCTAAAAATACGCCGCGACGGCCGCGCTCGGCTGTCGGCCGTCCGCGCGTAGCTATACCGCATCGCTGTACATTGCCGTCTACCCCCACCGTTTAGATTGCAACTCGTGTATGCACGCGGCAGTCAATGCAACAGTCCCCGCTGTTGCACGAGTGGGCAGGTACGACCGGGGAAGTACCACGACCTCACTGAAGACCGACGTGGAGTGGAAGTGCTACACTTCTGCGTTTCGTCTGATGAGTGAGGTAGCCAAGGCCCACTTCATTAAATGGTGGCAAAGCATCTGCAAACCTTCGAGTATTTGCAAGTGTCAAGGGGCGGCGGTTATCACTCATCATCAGGTGAACCTGATCTTTTCACATAAAAAAGTCAGAAAATGAGCTGTAAACGCCTCGCGACTGATCTATAAAGGCCTTCCGAGATGTGTGAAGGCCTCCTAAGGCCAGCAGTGGTTAATCCGGCAAAAAAAAAACGACAGAACTGATTAAAGCGATTAACCGTTAACCACACGCAACACACCTCTGGTGTTGGATACGCGTTCTCGAACAATGGTTATATTTTATTGGAGTGGCAAACAAGCGTGTATTCTTCCACATAACTCCAGCCTTCTCCCTCTCCTCTTCTGTGAAGCCAGGCTATTCAGCAACAGCAAAAGCAACTGCTTGCTGGCACCGGAGGAGAATGCTTACACCGTCGTCCCAATAATTCTCTAATCAAGTTCTCACATTCTTTTTTCTCATTCAATATGTCACCTTTTATGTTATTACCTACTTGATGCTGCCCGCGACTACGTCTGCGTAGTATAGGCTGAAGGCGTAACATTCATACAGAAAGACGGATACACATAAAATAAGTACAAAAATTATGGCCTATGTCTTATTCTGATGTATCGGCTATTTTATTGTAAAGTTTCATTGGAATCCATTCAGTAGTATTTGCGTGAAAGAGTGACAAACATCCATCCATACATACAAACTTTCGCCTTTATAATATTAGTAAGGATCAATCGCTTAGAGAAATTGATAGCGCATGCTCTGAAATCTCTGTGCACGCCACTACGGAGAAGTATATAGGCAGTGATACTGCATACGTCAGTATTACGAAAACCGACTTGACTCTGACGACTACTTGGGCCTCTCTAATAGCGAACAATTCATTCATATGGTTGATTTTATTTCTAGATTAAGTGGGCCAAAACTTTCGGTGCGGGATTCGAACCCGTATCTATCAAGTCCAGAAGGAAATTAATTTTCAGACTAAGTGTTAATGGAAGCATCGACTCCTCGGAGGTTTGCTTAAGATCGTAGCAGAAGCAGCACCTGTGATCTTTCCGCAATGTCACAAATGAGCGGAAGGTTGGAGGGTATGCTTCAAAGTTATCTTCCTTAGACTTAAGTGCCCTCGGAAATTAGGAATACCGTCAGCACTTGAGTAGATAACGCTTTAGAAACGAACTTGGTTTGAATTAATAAACATAATCCACTAAAGTAGAATCAACTAATACACATATCAGTTGCATTTTTGTCCATATTTATATGTATATGTAAATTTCAGCAAAATCAACATTGTTAAGATATGTAATTACTGATAACTCCTTTTTATTTCGTGTATTGATTCACAGACAACTGAGAGTTATGGTATCCATATTTCTATTAATACTATTTTCGTAGTTATAGGGAGATACAAATGTGTATATAACATACATATTACCCTTGTATTACAAAATTTTATTTTAATAATAAAATTAATTGCTTGTAAGCAATTAATTTTATTATTAAGCTGCAATTGTTTACCTGCACAGCGTCGACGGATATTTGAAAGATATTTTCATCGTCCATAATTAAGTGTGAACTCCTGTTCAATAATAATAGTCCAACTTAACGCATCTTTATATAAGGGAACTTATTAAAAAACTTCACACACCGCTACTGCCACATAATTAATTTACGTAGACGTCAAACCAAACGGTTATAAAATAACAACTGGTTCAAGTATCCCAAATAATACATTACGCATTCGCTTATCTTACAGTAGTTAAACAAACCAATCAATGTACAGCAAACATTTCGATAATCTCACCACGCTTCGGCCTCCAGTCCGCTACAATAATACGCTTCGGCAATGTTACACTCGCAACTGTTAAAAGTCCTATTGCGTTGCGATAAGGATGATTTTGTTGCGTTACAGTTGATAGTTTAATTTGGTCGTGGGGGAAGCCAGGAGTTCCGCCTAGGCCGACATTGATCTGTCACCGATGTTTGCCAACTGCAGAGCTATTGTCCACTAATTTCATTAACGATAACGTAACCGAAATGTTAACTCATCACAGGTCGTTAATGAAGTTTTCGCTTTTAATTGCAACAAAACTATGTGATGGATTATAATTATGAAGTTTTCAAGGGAGGAGAATATTAAGTGTTAAGGTAGCTCAGATTTTTTCATAACTTTTATTTACTAAGCATTTGCCATTTACGTCAAGTAACTTATTTCAATTGATACTAAAGCCAATGATATAATGATAATGATAAATAATCATAAGCACATTCCATAACTTTTAAGTGCAGGAATAACTTAATTTACATTTATCCAAATATATTCTGCCCAGGAAGAAGTCGTGTATTTTAAAAAATGTAGTATAATGTGTCAATTACAATGAAAACTCTCAAAAAAATGAGCAAGTCTTTTTTATGATAACAGGACTTTCCTCCAAAGTCTTCGGAACCGCATGGAGGACTAAAATTTCTGTACAACTAATGACTGAATTGCGGTGGTAGGGCCACGCAACAGTGTTCGCTGTTGCACGAATGGGCAGCTCCGTCCGGGTTAGTACCACGATCTCACAGAAGACCGGCGTAAAGTAGAAGTGTTGCACTTCTGCGTTTCGTCTGGTGAGTGAGGTAGCCGGGGTCCGCCACATTATTAAGAGGTGGCAACGCATCTGCAACCCTACGGGTGTTGCAAATGTCCATGGGCGGCGGTTTTCACTTAACATCAGGTGAACCGGCAGCTCATTTGCCACCTTCTCACATAAAAAAAAGAATAATAATTTCAGTTCCCGAAAATTCTATTTGAAGTACGATAAATATTTGTGTAAATATATCATTATAATATATATATAATTATGCCACGGAGGTAAAGTTATGGTGAGAGAGTAAAGCTTATTTTTAATATGCATTTGTTTTAAAAAAATATATGAAAAATAAAAATTTGTAAACAAATGGAAGAAATTGATAATGAGAGTATAAAAAGATACACACAGTAAAATAGTTTTTACTACATTTACCATGTATCATATGATGATCCTGGTGTAGATACTGAATCAGTCATAATATCGAAATGTGCTCAAAATTTCCGGTTAATGGGTCGGGGTAATTAGTGTTTGAAGGTGTATAAATAGATGCATGCAACAGAATAATGGTTTTCTATGTTGAAAATTCTTATATAGTTTAGAAGAAACTTGTACTCTAAGTTCTAGTACCCGGAGGACCGAGCTTTGCTCGGTTTGTTTTTTTTTTTGGTAAATCGTGTATTTTGGAAATTACATTTAGATACAAAGTACTGAGTAATGAAATATGCATAATATTTTTCGATCTTACCGACGTAATAATAAGAAAATATGAACTGATGTTTTTCACAAAAGAAAGAACTTTAAAAAAAAGGGAAAAAATAACAAAATAACGAATCGATAAAAAATTAAAAATAAAGAAAGCAATGATCTGGAATCGAAAAAAAAATAAATGTGTAAATGATCGTGACGCGAACCACGGCCGTCTGTTTTGGGGCCGCCCGATTACCGACCGAGCTATTTTGACATTTTCTCTTGCGGCGAAATTTACCGTCATATTCGAATTATATTTTTCATTCCCTGAAAACAGGGATAAAAGGACATTTTCTAAAAATGAAACCTAGCTAGATCGATTTTTCGCCCCCGAATCTATGCACATACAAAATTTCATGAAAATCGCTGGACCCATTTTGGAGCCGGAATCCGCGATTCCGATTTTATATATATATATATATATATATACAAGAATTGCTCGTTTAAAGGATAAGATATATCGAAACAACCAAAAACCAAAATTATTTTGCCTATTTTCAGAAACATATATAAATTTCTTGCGTATTAAAAAGGATATATTAAGAAGAGTAGATTATCTGTATTTTATAAACTGAAGGTTCTAGCGAAATATTTACTACAAATTTGTCTCTATATTGTAAAAATCAAAGCCATCTATCTAAAATATTTGTTATTAAAACCGTTTAAATGTGCTGCCATCTATATTTACATAACAAGTACTATATTGGCTCAAGAAAAAGTATTGTTTAGATGTGCCGACATCAGAGGGCGCTATTCGATATATTTTATGAGGAGGTGTTTTTGGCTATCAAAGAACACGGATAAATGTAAAAAAATATTTTTAAACCAGTTTCACGATTTCTTTAATATTGCGTCATATAAATAAAAAAATTAAAAAAATTAAAATAGGTAAAATCCCGAGGTTCAATAATAGATTTAATTGCTAGATGTAAACCATCGCAGCCTGTCTCAACAGGATACTGTTATTGTTGCAACGAAAAGCTAAGATGAGGAAGCCAATGTTATTTAAAACAGGTCTTTAATTATAGGATCAATACTGACCTCGCATTTTGCATGATTTTTATTATCCTACGCATAGAGTGTTTATAATTATAGTCGGCAATGAAATAGGATGCACCTACGTACATAGATAAAAATAATAAGAATATTTTTCCCGTTTTGCCATTCTTTTAGCAGTTATAACTGATAGTTAGTACTTCTTTTCATCCTTCTAACATTTACATTTGAAAAATATTTACGCTAAAGATACAATCCCACATAACAAGTATTCGCTTAGTACGTAAGCAAAACAGCATACACGAAGCGAAGTAATTTATACTTGAATTAGTATCAAAAGAATAAGAATAATATATGTATATAACAAGCACAATCAATCGGCAAATTGAAATGTTGCAGCGCTTTTGTGCTGCATTTTATTAGTTTCTTTTTAATTTGCGGATGCGTCCAACTATGGTCTTACTTTACGAGTATTTTCGTCGTTAATGCAATTAATAAAATGGCGTTAATGTTCACGTTATGTAATGCTTTAAAAATGTGAGTAGTAAGTGTGTTATTACATCGCATGGGGAATTCAGACACAGGGCCGCAAATAGCAGCTTCGAGTGCCTTGTGGCTAATGAAGTGTAACAAGTACTAAAGCATGTTGGTTACACATCTTTCTGGCGTGGCGAGTGTCCAGGCTGAAGGTTATTGCCAGCTAATAATAATTGGACATAGATTACAAGTGTTGCCTTATATTATTGCGTATGCTTATAATTATGACGCATACATTTCCAAAGCTTTATTACCGGCGACCATGATCAGTCATAAGCAATTACAGTCCGATGTAAGTAGCAATCAAGACGACACGAGTTTAATACGATTTGAAGATAAATATTTATGATAGCAGAAACTCTCTTCGAAATAGTTTTGAGACGAATTCTAGCGGCGATTTAGGGCTTATGCCTTATATTTCTTCGGATTTTTTATAATCACCACTACTTTTACACTTTTTAAAGGTTGGTAACGCATCTGCAAGAAAAGTATACAATAGATGTTTATAGGTGGCAGTCACTTAACATCAGATAGACCATCTGGTCGCTTGTCACCTTCTCACAAAAAACCCCGCTGAGTTTCCTTCGGCTGTTCTTCTCACTACAGTGACTTTCTTTTCCGAACCGGTGGTAGTGTTTTGACTATCAATAAGCGAGTGTAATGCTCCTATGTTGTTATATTCTCTAATGTATAATCTGTTATAGTGGTATTTTTATTTAGAGAGGTTCAAAAAAATATTAAGTGACAACATGTATGTATTGTATAATGTATATGTTATTATTCGTTAGAGTTTTCCAACCAAACAATAAACATAATCTCACACTCACATATACTTAAAGTAATGTATGTCTATTAATTTCTTTCGCGTTTCTGTTTTTAGATTTGATATACTGAATTGTTTGGGACTTGACAATTACTCTCACTTATAGTTTTAACAAGTTCTCACGCATTCAACTTTGTCTGTATTTGATAATACGTAAAGCTTTTAAGACTGAATTATTCTGTGGTATGGGTAATGTTTTTAAAGTTTGTGTGGAAACATTTTTGGGACAACGCATTACGTAGAACAGTTATTATAAATGAAATATCGTCAACGTAATTTTTTGGACCGTTTCCAAACTAACAGTCATATTGAGAACTATAATACATGTCTTTGTAAAAGAACTAAATTTAAGTTTCGTTGGTAGCGCTCTGCGGCGCGTGGACACTTTGTTTTTCTTACATTTATTTCTTTGTAGCAACTTACGCATTCAAAGCGAGGGATTAAAGGTGCGCTGTAGTTCTGGCTGTCACCGCTAGATGGCGCACGTCATATTTTTTTCAGTCAGTTTTTTTTTAAGAATAGCTAAAGCACTATTATCCTCAATTATTTACTTTTCCAATTAGTTGACATGATTGGAATTGCATAATTGTTTCCAAAATGTTTATCATAACATTTCTAATAACTTATGATGTTATTATATCGCTTATTCTGCTTAGTTGTGTTTGGATGGCTTCGTAACTGAAGTCCTAAAACCTAACACGTACGGGATTTTGTAAACAAATTAAATGTGAGGGAGATGTATGTAGTCCTAATTATTCATATAATTTCTATCGGGGCTTTGTGCGATTGTGTGATTGTAAGATTAGATTTAAAGTTCACATCTTGCTTTTATTACAAATTTTATTTGCCTCGAAAATTTTTCGTGATGTATTAAACAACATTTTATCTAGTATAGCCCGCATATAGAGAAGACCGGTGTGAAGTGTAAGTGTTACAGTTCTGCTTTCGTCTAATGAGTGAGGTAGCCTGGGCCCGTTTTATTATGAGGTGCCACGCATCTGCAACCCAACGAGTGTTGTGAATGTCAATGGGCGGCGGTTAACACTTAACATCAGGTGAACCGCCAGCTCTTTTGCCATATTCGCACATGAAAAAATAAAAAAATATGTGTGCACTTATGTACGCACATAAGACGTTATACTTCTTAAGCATACCAAGGAACTATAACTAAAAATGTTTTTCCCTGTGCCAGTACTATTTGTTTGTGAAAATAATATTAAAAGCAATTGTAAAAAAGTTTTTATTGGTTGCCATGGTAATGTCGTAAAGTTGGTCGCTTTATAACCAAGTTCATCCTGTCACTTTTTCGCTTTCAGTGTGTGCGCGCATCGTAAAAATTTATTGTCATATTATTTTCCACACGCGCCAAAAGAAATATAACTTCAATAATTTTTACATTATCAGTTAACTAGTGCTCATATGACAAGTTTGGCGCAGTTACACTGGCTTGACAAAAATTCAACTTATGAGACATATTGTATTGTTTATAATAAAGAGCACTATTTTCCATGAATGTAACGTCTATAAAAACAATAAATAACAAGAAACCAATAAGTAAAACCTCATTTAATGTCAGTTTTTTGCTGCAAGAGCAATTCTTGGCACGAACTGATAAATGTCAATATAGCTAGGTCACTTTAATAGGGCAACTAGAAGTCAGTGTTTCCAATAAGTTTTAGGACATTGCTTTCAGATTTTAGGTTCTACGTGACTCTACATTCTCGTAGCGAAGATATTATAAGATTCCGAACGATTTTAACATGCTTATCGCAACTCGCTCGTGTGTGTGCTCGGACATTAAGCCCCCTCAACACGCGCTACGCGAGCGGACGTGCGACAAGGCGGGAAAAGGGACGCTCCTTTTGCGGCGCAATTACTCCCGCCCTGAAATAGAGACGCGTAGAGTCGTTCACCCGGCGACATATTTGGTTAACTGCTCCCACTTTAGAAGCGATGTCCCGGTGCGTGCACTTGCGTTTCGATCCGGCGACAATGTCCGCACCGACCGTGTTGATGCAATAAGCAACTCTGTTAGCGCGGTGTTGAGTTAGATTTGGACGTGGCTCAGCGGATGTTATTGGTTGGAAGAGGTTATTGGGAGAACAAGTTGATATTTCAGCCGCGAGGCGAGTGATTTCACAGGTTGCAATCTGAAAATTTTGTTGACGATCCGAATGGCGTAGTGGGTAGTGTACCTGCCTCTTGCGCCAGAGGGTGTGGGTTCGATCCCGACTACTGGAAAAATATTGTGTGATGAACATAGTGTTTGTCTAGTGCCTGTGTGTTTATATATGTATAATATGTATTTATTACAAAACAAAAGTATGTTTGAGTATGTTTATCAGTATTTCTAGTACCCATCGTACAGGCTTTGCTTAGTTTGGGACTAGAGAATGTTGTTTAAAAATGTGTACAAAAAAAATGATTAAAGATAAATTTGAAAACTCGCTGTAAAGCCAGCTTTGCGACACTGGACTCTTCGAGGACATTTAAGGCGATATATTATGTATTTATAAGAATAAGTAGTTATAGAATAGCGTTAAGATAGTTATCATATGCAGGCAGCTCCAATGAAAATAATTTAATCTGAAAATATTTGATCTGATTTAATATGAGTGCAATATTTTTCTCTCGCCTGCTTGCCTCAAGGAAAGGCAGTTGACCCCGTTAACGAAAACTAAACATTTATGTAAAAAATGTAACGGTGACCTGAACTGCTCTCATTGTCTCTCAGTGCTGCGCTACATTGAGGAAAGTGGGGCAGATTTACCCTTTCCCGATGCATTCATTTTTCTTCTACTCTTCTTCTCTGATTCTTCTACTCATGTATAGTTCAGCGGGGCACTGGTGCTTTCCCTAAGAAATACGAGTGAGTATATAAAAAAAGAGATAGAGGCAGTACGACGTTGTAATGAATCAAAAATATGCTTAACAAATATTAATAATATTATAATAACTACAGCAATACATATGCGAGGTTATAACTTCTAAGCCCCACTTGACGTCTTATATATAATGTATAATAACCATTTTTTTCATACATTTTATTTTTATTATTATTCTTAAACCCTCAGCTATTTTGCTATAACATGCTTAATTAGTGTAACTATGTTCACATGATATACCGTTCATTGTTAAAGTAAGGTACAGCGCCACCTACCGAGTTGGAAAGATTGACGTCTGTTGGGAACTTTTTTGCAACGGGAAGCACCTAGATTATAAAAAAAATATTTGTAGATCTTAATCGGTTAACTGGTAGAAAATGCTATTGGTATTAAGTCCTTATGTGTAATAGTCTGCATAAAGTTTAAATAATTAACCAAACAAAACGTATGATCTAAAGATAATTTTGCAAAATCGAATCATAGTCTAATATCATAGTTATTTTTAAGTGAGAAGATGGCAAGCGATTAAGCAGTTCACCTGATATTAAGTGATAACCACCAACAACTGTAACAATCAACAACTGTAGAGTAGCAGAAGCTGGTATACCTTATAATAAAGTGGCCCGGTTACCTCACTTTCCAGAAGAAACGCAGAAGTGTAACACTTCCACCTCACGCCGGTCTTCTGTGAGGTCATGGTACTTGTCCGGACGGACTAGCCCATTCGTGTAATAGCAAATAATGTGGCGTGGTCCAACCACAGTTAAAAAAACTCACGAAACTATTGTAAAAAAATCGTTTATATGAGTATGCTTATGTCATTTCAAAAAGAGTCATAATTTTCCATAAAATCAATCTCAGCTAAGGTCAAATCTTAAATTGAATGTACCTTAAAATAAATTTCAAACTTTTCTTGTATATGTAGGTTATAAAGCAAATAAATATATTCCTTTACTAAAATTTGTAAAATATTGGTACTGTCTTTTTCAAATGTAGGGCTCTTCTTTCTATGCAAAACAAATTGATTAATTTGTCTTTTTACGCGAGAAAACGGAGCAAGGCATCAAGACAAATTTTCGGACATAAATAGTGTACGGTTATGTTTTTTAAAGGCTAATTAATGATGAACATATAAAACGGCATCTACTCAAGTGAAAACGTACTCGATATCCGATTAAGTATATACTCGTACGTGAAATTAATACGAGTATGTAAACATTGATGGCGCTACGCGCGCCTACGAGGTGAGGGCGACGGTCGCGACACGGCCGCCCTGCCGCCTCTATTTCCGGACGGCGCTGCAATAACAGTAGGTACCGATGGGCGGTATTTTTATTGCGCGCCTCGGTTTTATTTCAGTTACAATTTGACAAAAACAAAAATAAGAAGGGCCGCGTGGCGGGCGTAATATGACACTGCGCTAGGGTTGTCAGCGCGCGGGATATTTTTCCAATATCGACAGATTTACGCGATTATTCGCTTCGGCGCGTACTGCCCTGCTTTCGTTCGTAATTTTGTCAAACATCTATGTCGAAGTTTTCCATTCATCATTCACTTTCAGTTGACATCTTGCTCTATGACTATGGCACAGTTACGGGGCAACTTCAGCTGTTGTACTTTGGATTTGCACGTCCGGATTACACGCTGACATTAGAGTGCCGTCAGTACAAGAATCTTTGCGTTTGCTTACTTTACGTTGACTGTTTTTGCTGATTTAAGTTGAATGAGACGGCCAGATCCCACGAGCTTCATACGGCCCTACACGTTGGGTAGAGCCGAGCGTGTGCTCATACGTGCTTTATCTATGGGGACCTAGACAAAGCATCTATGGGGAGGTCACCTACGGGACTTTGAGGTTCGGTACAAAGTGATACCTCGATGGCCATTGAGTGTATTAATTTTTAGGTAGAGGCGGTGAGACGCGCTCTGGAACGCGTGTGCACCTTTTGTACGTATTGTGATGGTTTCGTCGTCATTGTCGTGAGGGGAAAATAATTGGTACCACAACACATATTGTGCTACCAATTACAATACCTAGAATCTAGTTCCCACTAGATAATACTATACCCACATGAGTATAGTACTATCCAGTGAGAACCCCGGTAGGTCTGATGCGTCTGATGTGTCTAAAATACACCTACATGTTTATTTAAGATATTTCTATCAATTGTTACAACAAGATTTTGAAAATTTGGTTAATTAGCTTGTCAGCGAATCACGCTTTATCATCTCATAAGATAAAATATCGATATCGTTACTTGCATGCAAAGGTGCCAATACCAACACTATTCATCTTAGTTAGCCCTCAAATAGAGATAAACAAGTTGCACTACATCGACGGCTCGTTTCGTGGACGCTCACCCGCGTCCGCAGCGCAACGCTCAATGTATCGTGGGGCCCGTAAAAGTCACCGCCTTCACCGAGAGTGCGTTCACCTTGTTGCGTTGAAACGTCGCCGCATTTCGGGAATAGATCGCGACACTCGTTTCCGTGTTCATTAGACGTCCTCTCCGAAAGTGGTGAAAAAAACAACTCCAGATTGAACGACTCTACATAACTCTAGGCGCAGATAGAGCGCGCTCATGCCACTTGTACCAACCGTAAAAGTTCGTAGATGAAATTGGTTAAAGTTTTAATCTATACTGGACCATGTTTTCGCTGTCGTAGGAACTGCATCACATTTCATAATTATATCAACTAAAATACTAACGTCTCCTCAGTTTTGCTAAAAACTCGTGCACAGTGGATGCTTATTTTATTTCGAAACGTCAATTATATACAACTCTTACTAAACTCGAACCTATGCCTCTCTCGCAATTAGTCTACATCGGTATCCTACGGGTATAGCAATTGTCAATGAGTGACGGTTATCATTTATCATCAGGTGAAATGCCAGCTCGTTTGCCATCTTTTCACATAAAAAAAGAAAACTCTCTTTACTCCAATACTTTTACTCCGACCAAATCGACGTTTGTCAACCAAATCAAACGCATTATAATGCGTAAATAATAACCCAGTTTATATTATAGTCACTAATCATAGCTAGGGTTATGCATCTCAATGATTGTATTCGGAATTAATAAGATGGCTTATTTTAATATACCTTCATAAATATATAAACAAAGCTACAAGATACCTTTTATTCAATGTCGATGGTTAGGATAACTAAGTTCGTTGCTATGTAGCAATCACTTATACTGGATTACCCGTCTGTTCATTATTTTTATGATTATGAAATGACTACAATATTTAATGCCACTCTTAACTAAGAAGTTTCCAGTGATTTATCTTCCTTAGCTTCTTCTTAAGATCTTTGATCACCCTATGGCCATGTTATTTAATATCATTTTAACCGACTTCAAAAAGGAGGAAGTTTCTCAATTCGACCGTATATATATTTTTTTATTTGAAATTCAACCTACAAGTGAAAATGAACTAGGTATCATAAACAAAATTTTCTCAACGCAATATCTGTACTTTGGCAATACGGGTCAAAACTTATGTTATCCACTCCGCTAAATGGCAATCACGGTGAGGAAACGACTTCCGTGCTACGCCATGCCGATTGGCGCGTCCATCGCGTGCGCTACCGTGCCGAAATTGTTGACCCGCTCCGTCACCATTACCGCTTGCGGTCGTCGCTTTTGAGACGCCGCGTCCCGACCGCGCAGTGTATCGCGTGACGAGCGATGAGTGCGTACCGGCGCGATAAAAGTCGGGCTTCTGTCGACGCACTGTGGGACAGGTGTGAAATTTATTCCCGCGTGCCTCGCTCGCGTGCGTGAGCCGTGATGGTATCGCCTGAAACGAAGCCACCCGTCGACCCACCCTCTGCCACTTGAAGCTGAGACCGTGTTGTCCCTGAATGTCAAATGTGCGGTATTTACGTGTTGAGAAGATACTGATTGTCATCACATCGCCAACTACGCAGAGCTCTATGCATCGGTGTTACAGATTAGAAGTTTCGTCTACTCAATTTCGTCTGGTGAGTAGCATCAGCATATCTACGCGTTTTGCAAATGCCAGGTGAACCACCAGCTCGTTTGCCACTTTCTCACATAAAAAACAAGATCAACAAATTGTGAATGTCCGGGATATGGGGACATAGCTATTTCGTATGCAATTCAAGTTTATCAACCGACATCAAAAAAGAAGGAGGCTCTAAATCCCTAGACTCAACTTCGGACTCAAACGTACTTAAAGTATTTATTTTTATGCGCATTTAAACAAAATGAAAAGACAAAACTCTCAACAAAGTACCTTAGGTTAAGGCTTCAATAACCACACGTTAACTTTTGCATCATAAAGTCAAACAGGAAATATAAATGGTACGTCTTGTTCTCGAAGTCCAATGAGAAGCTAATAATAATAAGACACAATAGACGCGTAAAAAGTGGGAAAATTTTTGAAATGGCAAAAAAAAGTCGGCTTGTGACAGTTTCTAACTTAATAGAAGATTGCTATGTGAGAAGCAATCGTTTCACTTAATATATTTTTTATGTGAGAAGGTAGCAAGCGTGCCGGCGGTTCACCTGATGTTAAGTGATAACCGCCGCCCATAGACATTTGCAACAGCCGTAGGGGTACAGCGTTGACGCCTTATCGTGAAATGGGACAATTATATTAAATGATTACATGATATTAAGTGATTACATTAATATGGATATCTACAACATCTGAAGGATTGCAGAAGCGCCGCCAGACTTTAAAGAAGTTGGGCCTCAGTTGGGACCAGACGAAACGCAAAGTACTTCTACTTTACGCTGGTCTTTTGTAAGACCATGCTACTTCTTCGGATGAGTCCACCCATTAACAGCAGACGCATCACTACATAATATAAAACAAACTCGCCCCGCTGTCTGTCTGTCCCTATGTATGCTTACTCGTAGATCTTTTAAAAATGCTCAACGGATCTTGATGCGGTTATTTTACTAGATAGAGTGATTCAAGAGGAAGGTTTATATTTATAATACATTGGACCCGTGCCGAAGCCGGGGCGGATCGCTAGTACATTATTTATTTATATATTCTCGCCAGATAAATAAGAAAATTCAGGTTACACTATCAATTTCAACACCGAACATTACATTCCGTAATCGTGTTCTGTAAGTGAATCAATCAAAGGTATAAAATGGAGGCGAACAGTGACAAGGTGATACTCGTATCGCACAATCGCACGCGTTTAGGATAGTAAAAGGTGTGGAAGTTTCCGAGCCACGCACTATGTCGAGGTCCGTTCAAGCGCATGGAGTTTGTATCCAAATCGATAAACTTTCATCGCATTTTACTAAAACGCAACTAATATTTAATATGATACTTTGAACCAAGTTCAAATCGCTTCATCAATATTTTAAAGAATAATATGTTCTTTATGGCAATATGGGATTATAGAAAACGAAGTATTTAGAGAAGTGGGCCTAATTCTAGCCACTTTGTAATTATTATAGAAATAATATAGAAGTGCTACACTGCTAAAAAGTTGTGTTTTATTTTTAACGTTTTACCTTCTTTGCGCTTTAGACCCCACACCAACTCCAATCGTTACTCAAGTCTAGTAATGTTATAATTTTTCTATACCGTCTTAAATGTTTAACTAAATGGTTACGAATGAATTTCCTGTTAGCCACACAAATCTTTGCTTGAACAAAGCTTCTGTTCATGACGAGCGTCAATATTTTTGTGAGCCGATTCCACGGGTCGAGCCACTCGCGCCAGTACAGCGGCGAGTAGCTGAGCGGGTGCGATCGCGTTGGGCGCGTATCGCACGCCAGTGGCACGTTGTGCAATTAAGTTGGCACGCGAGGCGCCGACGTCGCCGCCCGCCCTCCGTAGTGCGTAGCGCCCACCGACAAGTGTTACATTTATCGATTCGGAATCACAACGGCGGCCCCTTATCTTATCTGCACACGTCACGACCGTAACACGAATAACGCTAATTGGTTACGAATTAATGTTCGCGTAGTTTAACACGGGCCGCCCTCGGTGGTCGTGCTATAAGTTTCCTTCATTTAAGCAACAATCTTTTTTTTGTTTACTTTTAGCGTTATTTTTAAAAGAACACATCGAATTGCCTTTCGTTATTAAATAATATGACTTGTGATTTTCCTAACGAGTCGTGTTCCATCGCCCCCTGTGTTACTACAAAGTGTTTTACACACATCACTACATAGTATAAAACAAAGGCGTCCCGTTGTCTGTCTGTTCCTATGTATGTTAAGACCTTTAAAACTACGCAACGGATTTCGATGCGGTTTTTTTACTAGATAGAGTGATTCAAGAGGTAGGTTTATATGTACAATACATTGCAACCGTGCGAATGTCGGGGCGGGTCGATAGTCGCTAGTAACATATATATGTAGGATTTTTATGAGAAGTAAATTTTTCAAATAACTACGGTAGTAAGGCCACGCAGCAGCCTCGCCTGTTGCACGGGTGGGCGCGCCCGTCCAGGTAGGTATCACGACCTCACAGAAGACCAGCGTAAAGTGGAAGTATGACAAATACTTTCGCGTTTCGTCTGGTGAGTGGGGTAGCCGGATCCCAATTTCCAAAAGGTTGTCAACGCATCTGTAACCCTCGGGGGTAGCAGATGTCCATGGGCGGCGGTATTCACTTACCATCAGGTGCAAGGTCTGCTTGTTTGGCAACTTTTCACATAAAAAAAACGCATACAGTTAAGAAAGCGCGGACAGACAAGCGGGAGAACATTTGGAATCGATCGATGTAATTCGCGGAATATTACCAGTTCGTAAAAAGTATGAATCGGTGCTCTTTATTTGATTATTTTCGAGTCGGCGGCGCCCAACGCGTCGGCACGTCCGGCTCGGTATGAGCGTTACGCGCGCGAATTACATGTGTTGGTGAACCGCTTATTATTAGAGAAACGTAAAGTGGCACTTTTGTAACACCTACGGGATCTCCTTTCGATTGTTCGCATCAAATTATCCAGAATATCGAATAAATTCTACGTCTTACTTAAACGTGTCTAATTCTTACAAATTTACATATTATAATAAGTGAAGTATGAACCTTAATTTTTTCGGAAATGTTTTTCGCCGCGCGTTTCATCTTAAGTGCAGAGATTAGTACTGGATTAGTACCTACTATAAAAAATTTAAATGTATAAATTATTTATATATGTCCTTTTTTGACCTTATAAGGATATAAGGTACATTTTACAATGGATAAGGTCATAGTGCAACACTCGGCTCAATTGTGGATAGACGGACTTCGCAGATCTACGACGTTAATTTCTTTATATCTCAAATATTAAGGTTTTCTCGCCATGTTTTTCTTATCGACATGCACTTGATAAGTCAAGACACAAAATTGAAACAATTTATTTGTTTCCCGTATATTTAATTCGAACCCAAGAACTCTCAATGTCCGTCAGCTACCGCTATACCCTGTGTCTTTAATCTATACGTCTATACAGATAAATAAAATTGGAGTGTCTGTTTGTAACATTAAAATAACCGCTTTTTACTAAATGCATATGGATGTATACATGCTACATATACCAAAATAAGATTTTTTACAATTTTTGTCTGTCTGTCTGTCTGTCTGTCTGTTAATCCGGCTAATCTCTGAAACGGCTTGGCCGATTTGGACGGGACTTTCTTGTTCTTTTCGACTTTCGGGAGTAACTTAGGCTACTTTTATTTCAGATTTTTTTTATTTAAAATTCCACGCGGACGAAGTCGCGGGCACAGCTAGTACTCTATATAATCCTACATGATGGTAAGAGTTGTTGAAGGCCTCGCCCTTATTGTCCTGTATTTATATTTATTCTATAGTTAAATATGTGACCTAAATAATTATACCTTTTACTTTAACGAAATCATGCAACAGCCTATAAATAGTAAATACTGAAACTTTAAGTAGTCGTTTCACGGGTAATGTAGCCTCAATAAAAAATTATTGTGAAAAATTTTATGTCGGAATTTCATGATGTGTTAATCCATATTTTTAAGACTTATGCTGTTTATCTAATGCATCATTACTTTCGTTTTACGTCTTGTATGTTAATCCATATTTTTTAAGAGTTATGTTGTTCATCTAGTGCTTCATTACTTTTCATTTTATGTCTTGTACATAATGTCTCTACGTGATTTAAGTGGATAGATCTACTTTTTAGTGGCGTCTATATTTGTTATATATCTCACGATGGCAAGGCCACACAGCAGTCTCGGCTGTTGCACGTATGGGCAGGCCCGCCCGGGTAAGTACCACGACCTCACAGAAGACCGGCGTAAAGTTGAAGTATGACAAATACTTTCGCGTTTCGTCTGGTGAGTGAGGTGGCCGGAGCCCAATTTTCAAAAGGTTGTCAACGCATCTGTAGCCCTCGGGTGTGGCAGATGTCTACGAGCGGCGGTATTCACTTACCATCAGGTGAACCATCTGCTCGTTTGGCAACTTTTCACATAAAAAAAATGTCATCTTCAGTGGCCTCTTAATCGGCTCTAAATGATTTACTGTGTGTGGTATAGCGAAACAATTTGAAGAGGAGCCCCAAAAAGGTCTTAGTAGCGCTTGAAGATTGCGCTTACGTATTCCCGCGTCCCGACGCGACAGAGACAGGCAAAGTGGACTTTTTTAATGCCCACGAAAAAAAGGTGTTAACTTGTTGAGTGAAAATTTTGTCTTGGCTGAATAGCCACAGGGTTGTAGTCTGTTGTTCTACTGTGTTATATTTTGTATAGATGGCAACTCTCTGTCTCTCTTTATGATTTGGTGTTCTTACTGTACAATCGTTGATTCCTTTAATTAAAACAAATTAAATACATTTTCTCAGTTTTATTCATTGAGAAGCCCTAACCATTAATAGGTTACGGGCCCGGGAGCTCTAAAATCTGAAGAATTAAGAAAACAGTAATGGAAGTAAGTAGATGGCTAGTCATAGGAGTCCGTCTATGTCCTCTTCAGACCGTATCCTTGCCTCTCGGCTGTTCGCTCCTCGGCCGATTGCGGGAACGGCACGGCTGCCCATTCGCGTCTAACACCAAAATAGCGTCGCGACGCCGACAGCGGTCCGTGATTCAGCGTCGCCGGAGCAGATTACCGGCCAAACAGAAATAAAACGCACGCACCGGTGTCGCCGGCGCGTGCATAAGCGCAATTGTAAAAATAAATGACGCTCCTCCTACCCACTCCACCTCCCTCCCCGCACCTCGAGTCGTCCACGAGTGAAACAATCACAATCCACTTGACTCACTGTGTTCGCGCATTGAATCAATACACGCCCGCTCTACGTATCTGCTCTACGGTTTGGTCTCAAAACGTGAATATCGCTAGCGGATGCATGTCCTGTTTAAAATTTAGCTTAACTTTAAATCGATGCTTGAATTCCATCTTGATAGGGAGAGGTAGATAGAGTTATAACAGTCAGATATAAACTTATAACGTATGCAATTTAATTAGCGAAGCCTATGTTTTTGAATCGGAATCTAGAATTTATTAATTTTATGTTATTATTAACTTCGTTGACTTACTCTAATTGCACTGGCACGCAAATTTGTGTCAAAATCCCTTATAAAATTAGATTTTTCGATTGCCTTGTTCTCTTTTCGAAATTAAAAATTTTAACAATATGGAAAATTTAGGAAAGGGAGCTATAATATTAGGCTCTGACGCAGAATAGCATATCATTTCCTCGGCACAAGAAACACCTTTCGGAAATAAATTTCATGTTGTTCAAAAATAAATGCTTAATTTAAATTTTTATAGTTCTCATCTCTACATTTAAGACGAAACATTAAAATTTGTAGAAAAAAGGTCTAAAAGTTTCTCCCCGCTACGGGAATCGAAGACACGTCTTCCGGATTCGCGACCAGACGCTTTAACTACTAAGTTGAACGGCTAATAGACACCAAATAAAATCTCTACTTCTTTTATATACTACTACTAATACATTGTTTTTTTCGTATTTCAAGCAATGCTTTACGCTTCTAATGTCTCATCTTAAGTGCAGTCATTAGCTGTATAAAAATTTATATTTCGATTATAAAAATTTATATTCTCAAAACGTGGGCAGAGCGAGTACGCACACCTCAGTGAGCGAACGGCGCCAAGCTAAAAATACGTATCAAAGCAATGCGATACGAACGTATCACCGTGGAAAACTCTCAGGCGGAGGGAGGCGAGGGGGGGGGGGTGTAGTTAAAGTTAAAAAAGTGTAAATATATCGTTCAACGGTCCCGTGAATAATCTCTGTCCACGTATAAACTACTACGGCGACATGAAATCGCGGCGATGTGCGAAAGCGTCGAGACAAATTGATCTTTGGATGCGGTAAATTATACTTCGTTTTGTTTTTAGTAAAGTAAAATAAAGCAGCCTATATATGTTCCACTGCTGGGCAAAGGCCTCCTCTATATAGAGGGTATCAGGGCATAGCCCACCACGCGGCCCCACTGCGGATTGGCGGACTTCACATATCTTCGAAATATTTTTTTATTATATTTCGAAAATATATAAGGTTTCCTCACGATGCTTTCCTTCAGTAAAGTCAGCACTTAAAATTAACAATTTCATTGGTGCCCCGGGGATCGAACTCAGGTTGCTCGAGTATATTGAATTAAAGGCAATCGCCCGGATGTTGAGTTATCACGGCACAATGTCCCGGCTGTCTCGACTGTTTTGTTTTTAAGACTCAAATTAATATTAATCATCATCATCATCATCATCATCATCATTTCAGCCTGGTTGAGTCCACTGCTGAACATAGGCCTCCCCCATAGACTGGAGTGACGACCTGTGCAAATGTGCGGGAAGTCGATGGATGCAGGTGGCTCAGGATCGCACTTCATGGCAGTCTATGGGGGAGGCCTATGTTCAGCAATATTAATAATTAAGTATTAAATCGCACTTTACGTAACACAACGTTGAAGAGCTTCAGCTGCAATGAGAAAGGTACACCGCTATGTAAGTCTTTAAGATTAATTTTTATTTTTACTGCTGGACTCTGCACTCAAACTGACGAGGTCATTGGCCGCTTAGCTTAGCTGGTAAAGAGTCTGTGTGCGAAACAAAAAGACGGAAGTTCGAATCCCGCTACTCTGAAAGTTTTTGTTTGTGTGAAAAAACTGTCATTTCAATACAATAATACGAGGAGGAGTTGACGAATCTGTAACAACAGATTTCGCGTTAAAGAAAAAAAACCATTGTCAAGATCATACATACATACATACATGCCTATCATAGATTTGACAGGTATGTATGAGAGAATTTTTAAGTGAAACATAATTATAATTTTTAATTTATAAAAAAATAAATACTCTTAGCCTCTAAATCAATTTGGACATCCGCCGTTCTTTCTAATGCATATTAACGAGATTGACATTTCGATTATACGAAAATAACTTCATTATTCTTCTTGAGAAAATACTTAGCCGCTTAATACGAGTTGTGTGCACACCCGTGTTTGTGTGTTTTTGTGCATCGGTGTGGCGGCGAGTGCATACCGCCCACGCGCGCCCGGCATTATTTCCAATGGGCACGGCGCTTGCCACACCGCGGTGAATTATGCGCGGCGACTACTTACCGGGGACATAGCGGGCCCGCCTCGAATTTATAGATTACGAACAGCGGCGGTTGGCCAACACAGGTGCCGGCTTTGGTTCCCGTGAAATGACCTTTCTAGAACCTGCTAGAACTCTTTCGACGGTGCATTTCGTAAACAATGCTACAGTTGTAATAAGAGTTACGCATGAAGCTTAAAGGACGAGTTTTCAGCATACGTAAATGGCCATAAAGGAATATCGGATGTACATCACTACGGTGGTAGGGCCAGGCAACAGTGTTGGATGTTGCACGAATGGGCAGGTCCAACCGGGTTAGTACCACGACCTCACATAAGACCGGCGTAAAGTAGAAGTGTTGCACTTCTGCGTTTCGTCTGGTGAGTGAGGTAGCCGGGGCCCACATTATTATGGCAACGCATCTGCTGTTGTTGGTGTTCTCTGGTGTTGCAAATGTCCATGGGCAGGCGGTTATCACTTAACATCAGGTAAACCGCCAGCTCGTTTGCCACTTTCTCACATAAAAAAAAAACTTGACTCGCAATGGTAGCCTGGCCACAGTTTTGTCTAACACGGCTGTCGTGGAAGTCAAACTGTCGGTCGAAAAAAAAAAACCGCGAGTGTCGCGTGCTCTGCGCCGGAAGCGTATAATGGTGTCGGCCCCTCGGTACCCCTCCCCGCCCCACCAGCCCCCTCGACAGAACCGTCAACTTACTAAAGCTATTCCTAGTAGCAGAGACACTTCGTTTGTACTTCGCTCTAATTTCAATCCGTCCATAGCACATAAGAATTTTTAGACAGAACATTTACGAAAATAAAACGACAGTTAAACTTTTTCTTAACTTTATCGCCTTTAAACTTTAGCTGACTTGTTTGTTGATTGCGTTTGGAATTAACTATAATGAAAAAAAAAAAAGTCCCGCTGATTTTCTTTCGCCGCTTCTTCTCAGGTGGCTTTCTTTCCGAACCGGTAGTAGAGATCTTTTGACAATCAATTAGTAATTGTAATGCTTCTATATTGAATAAAGATATTGTACTTTCACTTTGACCTTGAAAAACAATTATTCTTTGTAACGTAAAAGTGTTTTGTGTTGAGTATAAACTACAAATATGTAATGTATGAATAGGTCATAACAAAACGAGTTGCTATTTTGTACGGAGGTCTTCCTGTCGCTTTTAGAAATCGTCTGCCCTTTGAGCCAATCCATTCCATTGGAACAATTATTAGTCCAGACGACCGACTAACGGAAATAAAATCTTATTTCAATCCGATTGAGACTGGGTCACCCGTTGCACTAACCCTGAATTACACTTTGTTCAAATCTATATCAAGAATTCCGGATGAAGTATTTATAATTAATTTGCACAGATATAACTAGGTCGTATTTCATCTTCTATGATTAAAGATAAATGGCATGCATTTACTGGCAAATTTAAGCTCAGATTAACAATTATATTATATCGTGTCTTTTCTCATATGGCGCATAGGATATTTAAATACCGCTGTCAAATTCTTTAACTTATATATTATTTTATTATGTGGACGGACCACCTAGCCAAGATCGCAGGGACGCGTTGGATACGACCGGTCGAAGTCAATGGGTGGGGCCTATGTTCAGCAGTGATGATGTTTTGTACTGGATTTGTTTGTAATAAATATAAAATAATCAATGTTGATAGCAGTACTTATGTATTAATTATATTAATTGCTATGGACGAGCGAAGTCACCTATCACAGGCATTTTTTGCTTACTAGGTGACTTCAATCACTGAATATAAAAAATGTAAACAAATATTTATATAAATCAACTTATTTTTGTTCGTTTATATTGTATTTATTATGTCTATTCTTTTATCATGGCCATTTTTTATAGCCTGTAAATTTAAATGCATTTTTAGAATGAACACAATTTGTAACGAGTTGTGAACGTCAATAGAAGAAATCGCGCATGCGGCACATAAGTGAAACAAATCAAATAAGTAATTACACAACAAAATGATAAATGATTTATTTGTTAATTATAATTAATCAGCCAACGCATTGTGAAAGTAAAAACTCTTCTGGATGGTGCGCTTGCTGTTTATACATGCCTACATATGCGTTTGCTGTTCTTGTATTTCTATTTCTATTTTGTTTTAACATTTCCCTCTATTTAAGATAACATTATCCTGTGTTGTAAGGACGTTTTTACAAACATTAATTTCACGTGGACAAACACCCAGATGCGGAACAACTATCTGTGGGTCGTACAAATAGTTGTGCCGTGTGGGAATCGAACCCACGGCCCCCGACGCCGAAGCCAATACCTTGGCAACTGCGCCACGGAGTCATCACATGTATTAGTATTTGTGTATTAATGTTGCTAATATTCTAATTGACACTTCTATTGCGTTTAGACTCTGTGGTTAGCACGAGCGCCCGCGGGTCCACGAAGCCGCTTCCATTTTTATATCGCCCTCTCGCATTAATGAGACATTGCTCGCTAATTGCTTGTACTATACAATTTTATCGTTAAATTTCTAGCATATCTCAATATTTTTATGTGAAAGAAAACTTAGCAAGCGAGCACGTGATAATAATTGATTCACATGGACGTTTACAACACATTGTAGGGTTGCAGATCCGTTGCCAACCATAAAAAGTGGGCCCCGGCTACCTCACTCTCGACAACACAAACGGAACGCGACTGTATAATACTTCCGCGTCACGCCAATCTTCTGGAAGGCCGGGGTTCGTCCCCGGACGAGCCTGTCCGATCCGTGAGGGAGAAAGATAAAGCTGCTTTGTACTTAAATAACAACAAATATATCTTTATACTCTAATTTATGCGATTTTTCATCTTTACATTTCTGTGCGCGTCCTTCCATTCACTCCATAAATATTTATTCCGTGACAAAATAAGTAAATACTACTATTATGTGCTGTTAATTAGATTTTTATTTAAAACATTTTCTAATTATGATTTTATTTAAATGTATATTCTTGTTCGCGACAACATGTTTTCAAATAATATGTTAATTAGTGCCAATTTTAGGTACAAGTTAATAATTTAAATGATGCGAACGAAAACAAATTACTATTACGTATAGAGCCGGTTACTCTACGTCGTAACAATACTATATCGATTTATGTGGCAATGTAAATTCTTTTAAAATATCAGCAACAATTATTTAGAATTGAAATTTATTAATTAGCTGGAATAAAATAATATTAGTTGGAACACTGCATTTTTCATTGAATATCATTTACTACACTTATATTGCCGTGATAGTTTATTTTCCGGGCGCTCGCTTCTTATACTCGAGCAACCTGAGTTCGATCCCCGGTGCTGCTCAGCGGGCTCAGAAACCGGCATATGTTCGAAGTGACAAAATAACGAGATATCTATAGGCCGTCACTTCAGTTTTAGGATCTTATGAACGAATCGATAACTATCTCGTTAAATAATAAGTCGGGTGATCATTTTATGCATTTAAAAAAATTCTCTTTTCAGCGGGTGTAACAATAATAATCCGGTAATGTAAAAATGCGATGGTATATAAATGCATGGACGGCTTGACCTTGTTTCTGTTGTGATCTCACTAAGGTTTAAGAGCCGCGCTTTCTATTGCTGCCTTACAAAAGATAGGGGTAAAGAAGTTTTTAGATTATGCCTGGTGAGTATGCGGCCCAGCTGGTCTAGATACTGCAGTCATCCATATGCTTCAGATTAACCAACCATCAGAAGTTTAAATTATTTTTAGTACTAATCTTTGCACTTAAGATTGAACATAAAAACTCTGATGGTTGAACATTAAAATTTTCTACAAATTTCAATATTCAACCATCAGAATTCATCATCAACTTCATCCTTCCATATCCCACATAGATGGGGTCGGCACAACGTGTGAATCATGTTGTAAGCGGTTTTGACTATATTTTTCACCGGCCGCCTGCATGATGTCAACTCTCGTTGGGAAACGAACACCCAGATCCGGAACAATTCGGTGCGTCACACAAATACTTGTCCCGTGTGGGAATCGAACCCGAGAACCGCGACTCCGAAGCCAATAGCTCGGCAGCGGCCAACCGATTCAACCAACCATCGGAGTCGTTGTAGAAATCGGATCGTACGCTAGAATCGCGCGTTTGTCGCGCCGAACTCGTAAGAATCAAAGCTGCAGCGGCGTTGCGACACGATATCGAAATCATTTACTCCATTATCGGCCGTAGGATTTACGACGACACTGTCCCCAACATCCCGAGGGCCGTTACACGCACTCTAAACGGACAGCCGAGAGGCAATACAACACATAGAAAGGTCGGCCAGTCACGTGTTAGATGCGTAATCTCGATGTATTCACATTTTTTATTTTTATTCTTTGTTGTACTGTGTTCTTGCTATTTTAGAGTTTATCATATTATTTTCTAAATTAATTGATTTTTTATTTTTAGTTATAATTCTTACTCTCTATTTTTTTTCATTGATATTCTTTTTGTCATTTTAATTTTATTTTTTGGTTTATTGTTACTACACAATAAGTTTATTCTAATCGGATTTAATATTTTTCTGTTTTTGGTGTTTGTGGTATTCGCCTGTAAATGTTCGTCACATATGTAATTTACTATGTTTTGATGTTTCATCTTCTTAATGTTCAACGTGATATGTGAACGTACGTTGGTGAACCTCTTAAATAAATAAATAAATAAAATAAATGTATAACGCGCCACGGCACGGGAGGCAGCGAGTATGACGGATTTCAATTCAGTTGTATATACTCATGTTTGTACCTTCTTTTGTGTATATTATATCGATTTACGTTAACTACCATTATGTGTTTGTGTGATTAATATGTAATCAATCGGATAGACAATAAATAGTAAGAGTCGATTGCATGACAACCGCTTTACATACATTTTAATAATAAGATTCGTTCGAGTCGTGCTAAATACAAGAATTCGTGAGAAAATATTTTCATTTCCATATGTTGATGAGTTAAACACTTATATACTTTACGAATATACATACAGTGTATAATGGTATAACGTATACTTTACGGAATTTATGTCGTTTATCTTTTCAACTAAATTAAAGTCCAATTTTCAAATAAATTGTTTATAAATAAACAAAAACTTTCGGTGCTGCAGAGTTCAAACCTGCGTCTTTTGGTTTCGACCCCAGACGTTTTTCCAACTAAGCTAAACAGCCGATGGCAAAAATCTCAAATCTATCTACATTCTTTTTATTGGATTTTTAGCAATGCTTGGCGCCATCTAGTGTGCATCCTTTACAGCATGCAACTTCCAAAACAGACAAAGATGAACATTTATAACGAGATCCCATGAGTAATTGTTAATATTAACTAGCTTCACCCGCGACTTCGTCCGAGTGGAATTTAAAATAAATAAAATTCTAAAATAAAAGTAGCCTAAGTTAGTCCTTATTACAGCTATACGTGCCAGTGAAAGCCTCGTCAAAATCGGTCCAGTCCTTTCAGAGCATAGCCGGAACAAACAGACAGACATAAATTGTAAAAAATAATATTTTGATATACCTATATGTACAGTGCTAAACATTCATATGCATCTAGTAAAAAACGGTTATTTTAATATTACAAACAGTCACTCCAATTTTATTTATCTATATAGATGTATCTTTTTGATACGGTATACGCAATAAAGAATATTCATTCAATAATTCATCCGTTCCCGCATCTCGGGTGTTTTTGTACCAAAGCCGCGTAACTTACGTATCTTGCTCATTACTTAAACCGCCCGATGAGTAAGTAGGCATCCGGATACAATTGTCCATTAAACAATGTTTAATGTTTTTTTGGGCTCCGTACGTCGATTAGTCACCAATGTATCGCTCGTTGACCTAACAGAGGTGAAATTTTGTGGTCATAGCGCCTTATCAACAATGAATAGAATGACATTAATTCACATTGAATTAATAACTTTGAGATCGGAATAAATGCCAGTTAATATTAGTTATTTATTTCTGTAGCCGCTTCAATCTCGGTCGAAGTCTCGATGAAGTCTCGATGAGGGCTGAATTATAAATAAAATTTATTCCTCGACCATTCAGCAAACGATATTGTTTTTTTTCTAGTTTTTAAGAAAAATATGTAAAACTGTTATAATGACTGTATATTTTTAGTCGCCTTGTGCGCTGTTTTTATGTGAACTGTTTGCTAAAAAGAGAATGGAATAATTTAATCAAGTATTTTATTAAAATGTTCTTAGTTTATCTCTTTATATTCATGTAATAAAAATATTGTGGACATAAAAGAAGTGGGGCGAAAATGTATTTAGTTTCATTCACACATTTTATTAATATGAGTAAATAAAAAAAAATAAAAAAAATATTTCTATTGTTCCTACATGATGTTATTATTTGCTTTGTATATGTTTATATTAAAAAACATTGTAAAAAGCAACAGCCTATACATGTTTCACTGTTGGCAAAGCCTCCTCTGTACAGTGGAAAATATTGTACTAAAATATTTCGTTTTGGTTCAATAATATTTATATTGAATAATGAAAGCTTTTAACTACTATTCTATCGCTTCTTTATGTCCTTGCAACTAGCTAGTTCTTGACTATCGCACGGTAAGGCTCGAACCTTGACCGGACCCATGAGAGCTGATGTCCTAGACCAGAATCCTCATAGAACCAGTCAAAAAGCTGGCCACGAGCTCTGAACCCAAATTCCAGAGGGTGTCACTTACGCAAATAGAATGCTTTAACAGCAATGTAATGTTACAAAAAAATTCTTGCTCATCCAATATAGTAATTTTAGTCCGTATGATGTAAGGTCGCGCACTTAACTAATCCTGCTCTTTTTCTCTTCGAAATATTATTTAAATAACATGAAAGATAATTTATAATATTTTCAAATACTTAGGTAATAAACTTAATGTCTAAAAAATCTATATCATGGCACTAAGCCTTACGCCTAATGGCATGAAACCTTTGATCGAGAAACGAAGCGGAATTAAAATTGATAAGGAAGTTTCCTGTTTTGAGATTAAGATCCCATTTAATTTGCCGATAGAAGGAAACCAACTATCAAATGTTGCGGTAAAATATCTCTTCGATCTATCTTAACTTCCATTTAAAGTTTGTTGTATTAGAAATTTTACACCCAGGGGATTCTCTCGCATTGATCGTTGCAAAAATGTCCATTTGCGAACGCAATTCGTTGCCTACCAACACCTTTTTTATGTCAGCCGTTGTAATGGGAGAGAACAGTTAGCTATAAATTTGAATATCTAATCGGTGACAGAGCTAGAATCCCCGGATGCCATCCTAACAAAATCAGGTTCGCCCCGTCGCCGGCTATAAAGTAATTTCTTTAATTATTTCACCTCTAATTAGTGCCGAGATCGATATGTTTACGGCGTGGAGAGTCATAAGCCACCGCCCACGCCGGGTGGCCAGCGAGTCGGCGTTTAATCGAGATCCAATCCCCAAGATGAAACGAGTATAGTTCTATGTGTTTAGCAACATTTGTTCTTTGGGTTGAAAAGTTCAGCACAAAGATTATTCGATTACCCGGATGACTCAGAACCATATTTAGTAATAGTAGCGTTGATGTTATTCTTGATGTCACAAACATTTAATATGAAATTTAAAAAACATGTGTATTTGCAAACTTTATGCAGAAAATTATTAACAACAACATACACAGACTTTTACTACACAGCAAATCAGAGAATTTAACATAATTTAACACATCTATTCGAAATCTGAATCAAAAACTTCATATATAAGATACAATTGCTAGTAACGCCAAAAACTACAATTTTCGGGAATATACGCAAAATCCGCCGTGTCCCCAATGGCGTGGACACCGTATTAAGCGCACCACGAAGCCTACTGTCCGACCAGTTTTAATTAAAATAAATTAAGGCAATCAACGCGGGGTCCGACCTGGCGACAACCGGTATGGGTATAATACTACCGAAATAACAGTATCGCACCGCTTGTACTCACACGCCTCAATTTTAAAATGATTAGATGAATAGATTAGTATCTAATGCAGTCCCCGCGCAATTGTCACATTGGCGGGAAATCGCATGCCACAGACGGAGAAAAAAAAAGTGTAAAAGGCATTTTTTTCTCCGACCTTTCGTGAATTTCAGCTAGTTCCAAAGCTCTCCAACAGATGGCGTCAGGTGTGTGTTGTGAACTTTAATTTTTGTGATTTTTTCGAATCTTCATATTATAATGGTGAAATTATACATTAAAAATATAATACAGATGCCTACGACATAAAAAAATTGTAACGACTGCCATCGAAACATATAGCAGAATTAAAAAAAGCTAGCGCTATATACATATACATATACATTACAAAACTACAATATTGCGTATCAAGCACAATCATGACCTGAAACCCAAGCTGTTTTCTAAAAAAACATAAATATTAAAGTACACAGAAGAAATCTGGCATACTACACAATACAGATAACACATTGAATATATTTAAAAAACAACATTTAAAACTGTAGGCACTACGAAAAAAAAAATAGAGCAGGACACGTATCTGTTTCACAGGTCCGAGCGGTTGCTACGAAGCTTTCGCCGCACAGCCTCAAGGAAATGCAAGCGATTGCGCGACGTCACACGAAAAGCGGCCCGACATACAGTGACGTAAGCGTCGCGTGACGTCATAGCTCTAATATAGCGGCAGGGGCCCGTCCCTGGGGAACGCGACACGGTCCGCGCGCGATTGACTCTTCCCAATTTCGCACTTACCTTGGGCGAATTGGCCGTCAAAGTGGGCGAGGATTCCTGTGAAACAAAAGACAAGTCCCCTGCTTTAATTGGCCTTTATGGTATTTAAACAAAATTTAAAAAAAAAAAAAAACGAATAAAAAAGGTCGATCTGTCACGCAAAGAGGAATTAGTGATCCTAGTTGTATAGTGGAATTCTGTATTCTTAATTGTATAATGGTCGTCTAAAAAGCGACTTCAAAAGCATTGATGGTACTTCGAATGCACCAAAAAAGAATGTACTAAAACACTTACAGAATACAATGCATATTGTGAGTAACATTAAATAACGACAACATTATGTTAAAAGCTACATCATAGAAGAACTTTGTCTTTGCATATTCAAAGATCAGGACCTATCAGGACTCGGGAAGCACTTAAAAACTACAGAATTAAATATAGAAGTACGTTAAAAAAATGTAACGGTGTAATATTATGTTGGTAGGACTTACAGACTAAATTGTCTTTAAATCTATTTTAAATACAGACTATCATCAACAGTATAAAAACAAAATGTGACAACTATTATTTAATAGTTTTTCTTGTAAACTTATTTAATTGGTGAAATTGTTCAAAAATGGGCACAGTTTCAAAAAAATGCAACACGAGAAAATAAATTAAAATATAGTTAAATAATTTCCTTATATACTTAAAGGCGTCAGATATCAGAAAAAAGGGTTTGTAATTGTGTTATGCTTCTACGGAATTTCGAAATATAAGTCATTAGGTTATTTATATAATTACGACGTACTTAAAATGATCGGTTTTAAATCAATTAATCAAGTTATAAAATCCTCAGAATTTCTACTTTCTTATTTAGTGTAGAAAATAGCATGCTATTCAAATATTTCAAGTTAATATCCCAATAATGTTTTATGACTTTCAAACGTTAGCTAAAACGTCAAACAGACGTGGCGGGAAATGTTTAATGGCGGTTAAGGTGTCGAATACGCGATTATCGTTTGAAAATGACATTTAGAGCCTACGATAAAATATGTCCTCGGAAGCACTGGCATAAAGCCAATGCTTACAGAACCAAACAGCAGATTTTTTATTAACTTTAGGATTCATTGATGGAAAACCGTTATTGTGGCGATCACAGTTATTTTTTTTATGACGAGTCATAACAATTTTCTTACCCTTTTTTGGCGTAGACTAAACTAATAAATGTGTGATGCAGTTTGCTTAAAAAGTTGAATGAGTGTGATCATTGTTGTATAATATCTTTTTGTACCGAATTTATAATTAGCTGTATGGCGAAATAAATGGGACTAAGAAGATAAACAAAAAATTCTCCGTTTGTTACGTTTAATAAGTTAAAGAATACAACACCGACAACAAAATGAATGAATGAATGAATAAAATGAATATTTTATTTAGTATCAAAAAATTACACAGTTAACAGTCAAGTCACAGAAAATCAGAGATATAAAAACATAAATATCAGTCAATGTGTGATATACACATAATTAAACTTTTGATTTTTTTCTTTTTTAAAATTTAAATTTTTATTTAATTTTTTCAGATTTTTATTTTATTTATCTTTATTTTTATTTTTCAATTATTAAGCGTGAGGAGGTTCTATTAATCGCGCTAACCCAACCTAACCTAAAAACCGGTACTGATACCAGACTCACACAGGTAAATTATATACTGCTTTCATCCTAAGATTCTTTTGCCTTTGTAAATGAAATAAATGCATTCTGTTATTATTATTTCGTTAAATATATATTGGCATTACTAACGACGAACTAGATTTAGTTCTTATAGCTTAGCTATTCGTACGAAGACGGCACTTACGATGTAGGTATTGCATGAGCAGTTTGGGGTGAGCTATTCAAATCCTCCCCATCCCGTCGCGAACAAGGCTGTGTTTATAACTATGTGATTTCGATGGAGATAAAAATTAATTTAAATCATGGCTAATGATTTGAGATTTTAATTACCTAACGCCTAAACTTGTTGATCCCTCAAATTATTTAATATTCATAAATAACCGTTTTTATGAATCAGATGATAAAATGAGATTTAAATTGATACTTTGTTGAAATAAATTTTTGATGTTACATTTATTATCCTTTTTTTTGAAGAAAGCTAAAAAACGTGATAACTCAGAAGTTCACTTTGCATATGCATTATATGAGGTTAAAATTATCACAATCAGTCACCCTATCACCTCCTTTTTTTTCGTATCAGGGGGGAAATCTGTAAAAGATACCCTGTATACCTTACATGACGGGGTTATGTTGGGTTCTTACCCACTAAAACCGCCTCTGTGGCCACCTTCTATACGTTTGGAGGGACTCCGGGATCTCCCACGTCTCGGAGAAGGATAGACCTTCCCCGATTCCCTCGCCATCTTGCAGCAGCTCGAGACCACTTCGTTCTGCTGCCAGTCCGTGTCCCCTTTCAGTGGCCGTTTACGACAGGCAGGGGATACCTTAACCCTACTAGACCGAGACTACAGGAATGACTCCTATCACCTCCTAACGGGAATACGTCGAATAACCCCAGTATAGGCTGTTACTTTTAACATAAATCCATACAGTTAAAACTCTTAATAGTTATATACAAAACCTACGCCTTCAGCTACGAATCGAATCACTAGAGCGCCTATAAAAACAGAACAAGCTCTAAGAGGCAATTACCACGACGCGGAACGTGTATTTAGCGCTATAAACAATTGCGCGCGCCGTAGTTAGGACCGCGCCGTGTCAATTGCAAAAACAAAGAGCGCAACAAAAAAAAGGAACAAACCTGATGCGACGAGCGATCGCAAAAAAAAAAAAACGCCCCGACGAGGTTCGAATCAATCGCACGCGCGGTGGATCAAAGACGCGTGAAAAAACCGCGCTCGTGGCCGACCGGCGAGAGCGCTCTTCCTTGCCCGAATTATCCTGTCACGCGCAACCGCAGAATGCAATTGGGAGCTCCGATGAGATCAAAACACAAAATAGCAACTCGTCCGATTAGTGCACCGAGCCGCGTTTCCCGCCAGCCCAGGCGAAATTCGCCCTTAGTGCGTACAAAGCGGCGGTTCGGTTAGGCAGAAGTCGGTCGCGCGCGTGTATATGTTTAGTGTCGGGTTGCGCGGACAATAGGCGCACGCGCATGTACCTGCGCAAGGTGACCCCACGTTGAAGGGCACGAGGCTGCCCTTGCGCACCCTAAGCCTCCCCCCCCCCGGCCCCTCCCCGGCCGCCCGCCCGTGCCCCCTTCCGACCTCCGGCTTCGTCTTGAGCAGCATTCGCATATATCGGCCGACACGCTATTGCCTGCGGAGTGACCACTGTGACCAGTCCGCCGCTATATAGATTTAGGGATGCACACGGGATTATCGATAAATTTAAATCCGTTTACAACTAATGTGCCAGATATTAAACTCGATTCAGCAGTCGAATAAAAATTTTGATTAAGAGCCGCGATAGCTCAGAGTTCGGGTCTTTTAATTCATCATTCTCTAAGAACCTGAGTTCAAATCACGTGCTCTGCGGTGAAGGGAAACGTATATCGTGGGGAAAGTTGCATATTTTCGAATTATTTCGAAGATATATCAACTCTGCCAATATAGGCTGTTGCGTTACTTTACTTTTGATTAAAAAATATATCATCAATATGTTAAAATCAACGACATTGGGATCACGACGCAAAAAAAAGCATCAAAGAGGCCTATTTGGATTTCTAACAAACAAATCATACAGACGCCATACTCCACTTTAGATAGACCCGCTAGGATTCCTTGTGTTGTACGATCTTTAAATGAGATTTTGTTCACAAAATAATGTAGGAAAATAAGAGCAGTGTAACCTGATATGTTAGTGACCAATGACAACAGTTTAGAAAATATATGTAGACTTATAGCATAATAAAGCAAGTATATATAGGCTTATAGCAACACTAATCTTATCTGTATATCTTATATCTTGTATATATATCTTATATATATATATATATATATATATATATATATATATATATGTGTGTGTGTGTGTGCAAGAATTTTCACAATACATGATTTACCAAAAAAAAAAACGAGCAAAGCTCGGTCCTCCAGGTACTTTTTGATAAAGTGAGCCCCGGCTACCTCACTCACCACACGAAACGCAGAAGTATAACACTTCATGCCAGTCTTCCTTGAGCAACAGCGAAGAATATTGCGTGGCCATGCCACAGCGGACAGTATATCGTTCGTGTAATTACTATACGCGTTATCAGTTTTAGTAGTTTTGGCTTAGCAGTTTTAGGTGAAACGCTTGCCTTATCGTCGCCATCTCTAAAGTAAAAAAAAACCGGCCAAGTGCGAGTCGCACTCGCGCACGGAGGGTTCTTTAAAAACGGCAAAAAGATCAAGTCTGTTGTGTGACCCCCTTAAATATTTTTATGTTATTCTGTTTTCTAGTATTTGTTGTTATAGCGACAACATAAATACATCATCTGTGAAAACTTCAACTGTCTAACTATCACGGTAGAGACACAGCCTGGTGACAGACGGACAGAAAGACGGCGGAGTCTTAGTAATAGCGTTTCGTTTTACCATTTACTTGCAGAATCCTAAAAACTCGACGCAGTCACATCATATGCACAAACCAATGAGCGAACACTCGATAACCGTCGAAACAATGGACACGAAATGGTTTACTGCTCCGAGGGACAGGTGTTGCGGCCGACCTCACTGCGATCATGCGCGAATTAGCATCGGGGAGGGGAGTGAGGTTTAGAGAAAAAAAAAAACGCAATCATCGTGTACGATCTCGTTTGATGCGATAATGGCCGTATGTAAATGGCGACGGACGGCCGAGTGCTGTTTGCGTCGGAAATTATCGTCTATCGATATCGATTAACTATCGAATGCGCTCTCATCGATAAATCTACTCGCTCCCGTTGGTTACGCCACTGTTCGGCACGATGGGATTCGATCTGTTCAAATAATAACAGCGAGCCCTCGCGCCTTTTTAACGTGACCGTTAATCAGAGAAGTATCAATCGATGAGGATATCGACTCGTAATCTAACGTGGCCGATTCTATTCTAATCGTAGTTTCATGAAATGAAAATGTCTTTCGCGTTTTTCATTATTTCAGCTGTTCGGAAAGACTAAGCGAAAGTTTATCGCCTATACCTGCCCTAAATTTGAATCGAGGTGGTCCAGAACAATAGTGTATTAATACCACCGGAGTTTAAACCCTTGTTTGGGCGCCAATAAAATTTGCAAATAAAAATTCTTATTTAGCACATACTCTGCGGTGAAATAAATATAATTATATTGAGTCTAATATATAGTGATACCAAAATATATATTTCGACGTACTTCAATATACGACTTTATAACCTATATAAAATACATTATTAAGTGCTGTTTCTCATTCAATAAGCGGCTATTGTAGTCTATGTTCTAAACCTTATAACTGTAAAATGTTACATTTTACAGTTACAAAGTTTACATTAAGCTTATTTCATTCTTAAAATGAAATGATATTCATATTGCGAATTCACTAAATCCATAACATCGAAAACAAGATATCAATGTTTTAGTCTTTTGTACATGCCATTAAAAGATCGGCATGCGTGTTCAATCCTTACTAATATTATAAACGCGAAAGTTTGTATGTATGGATGAATGTTTGTTACTCTTTTACGCAAATACTACTGAATGAATTTTAATAAAACTTTACAACAATATAGCTTATACATCAAAATAAGACATAGGCTATAATTTATATACATATTTTTATGTATATCTGTCTTCCTGTCTGAATGTTACGCCTTCATGTTCGCCTATTCTACGCAGACGTAGTCGCGGGCAGCAGCTAGTAACCAATAAGAGGAAAATGGTTGCGTTTACCCAAAAATTTGCAAGTAAGAATTTTATAATAATACATGAGCAATAGTGAATCATTACCAAGTATACATATACAGGAAGGTTTTTTTAAATGTTTTTAAGTGTATCCATTTTTTTATTAAACTTTAGACATAAATAATGTTACAAAAAAATGATACATATTTTAAATCACTCTTAAGTTATTAATTACATTCATTTGAACTTGTCTCAAAAAGTGCGTCATTTATTCGCAACTCATTTATTTTACGCGCGATCATTCATAATTAACACGCACACAAGTTCGTCTGTGTGCGTGAACGGTAAAATTTAGGTATTTATGAATGACTACCGTGTTGTCAACAAGTTCTGTTTTGTAAGGAACAGAACGGTAATTTTTTTTTTTTTTGAAAAAAAAAAAGTTTCGTTTTGTTTTATTAAACGATTATACTACCGAGTCTGAACCTCATGTGTAAATTTGGGCATCTTTAAAAAAGCCTCGCTGTATATAAATAACCTTTGGCGCGCGTGGCGTTTCCGATAATACGTTAAGTTAATATTGAGGTTTTATTGATTAAAAAGTAATTTCAATCATAATTTTACACGTAAATAATTATTTAGGCGCTTAAATAATTATTGCATAGGTTTAAAAGTAACTAGAATGGCATAATAAAATAGCACTGAAAATGAGATTAGAACGTATAGCTTTTTTCTAGCAGGAAAACATACATAATAAATATTTTCTCTAGTCCCAAACTAAGAAACGCTTGTACTGTGGGTACTAGAAAACTGATAAAATTACTTTTCTTTTGTTATTAAATGCACACTATACATATATAAACAACTATACATATACTATGTTCATCAAACAACATTTTCCAGTAGTGGGTATCGAACCCACACCCTCTGGTGCAAGAGGCAAGTTCACTACTCCCCACTCCAATTGGGTCGTCAAGAGAGAAAAAAAAAATAAAAAAAGAACACGAAAATGTTTACGAGACGATCGACGGGAGCGGTCAAGGGAAATGTGCGAGGTGGTACCTCGTCGTATTGATGGCGGGCGGAACTCGGAAATGAGTGCAACGCCTGAAGTGCCAGAAGTAATGGAAGATGGGCGCGGAGGGCAGTATGGTAGGGGGAGAGGGGGTGGTTTGTTGGGGGGAGGGGAGGGGGCTAGTGACAGTCCCGCGTTGACCCAGTTGGGGCGGCATCCGGCGCGCCGCCTTTCAATCAGCGGCGTTGAAAACAGTGCCCGCCGCGGCGGCCGGCGGAAAAAAACACTCTTTGTTTTTTTTCACCGTCCGGTCCATCTTTTCCACTTTATTGCCTTCCCACTACGGATCTACGTCTATTTCGATCCGCGGGTGGTAGTTTAATTGCAACAGTTTTACGCCACCGCCATGGAAATGGATAGTTTTTCCCGAAATTCAATGGAAAGAGTTCACGTAATTGATTATAATTGCTGAGTAAGAAATATTTTTAAACAGTACAGTGGTTGAGTTAGTTTGAGTTTAGTTATTGCATCAATTTTCTTCCCCAATAAGCCAATCTTGACCAAGATAAATACTCCATACCACGCATTTTATCCTAGCATTCCTTTTATCAAAATCTTACACATCTAAAATGTTATCTTCAGATAAATTCTGATTCTTCAATCTTAATTACAACATCTCGAGAAATTGCAACCAAAACACCTATAACATGAGAACTTCTCAGGTTTTCCCTGTACATTACAAATATCAAATACCTGTTCACCTACATAAATAACAGAAGAACAACCGTTACTCGAGGGGTAGACAGCGTAGTTTAAACATATCCACTCATTTTGCAAACGTGTTCTTCCAAAGGATACAAACACAGACTAGGGGGCGACTCGGGAATAATAAGCGATTCGAATTCGGACCGAAACAAATCTAACATCTGCGCTCCTGACATTATTTAGAACAAACTCCGAGCGTGCTTAGCATAAGCAGCCATCAAGCACATGTCGGCTAAGGAGTCAGCTGGTCGTAAAGTCTGCTTTAGGGTTAGAATACGCGGGGCTCTGAATTGAAAATTGCCAATAATTGATAGCATACCTAACTAGCATACGAATCAAACAAAGTATCGTAAATATATCGTTGAATTTTTAATTTTAGTTAGTCGGTGAATGTTTGTACCTACAGATTATAAATTTTAAAGTTATACTTTTTATGATACTACGGGATTATTGTTATATCTGTTGTTGAGGTTTTTCAAAACTTAGTTCATAAATGCATTCATCAACATCACCTGATCATCAGTTTACGATGAATATAGACTTAAATAGGTTGAAATGATTTTCATCTTATTTGAGTCCATTGCTGAACATTGGTGTAAAAACAACTGTGGTAGGGCCACGCAACAGGTTTCGCTATTGCACGAATGGGCAGATCCGTCCGGGTAAGTACCACGACCTCACAGAAGACCGGCTTGAAGTGTAAGTGTTTTATCAACAAATCTAAAAGAAAATATCATTGATTCGCCACCATACATGAAAACATTTAACAGCAGCTGTTATAACAGATCAATGCAAATTGGGATTGAAAAAATCTTTATCCGTATTACTACCTTCATTATTGAGGAGTATTGAAGCTTTGCATTTGTAAAACGTTTAAGATTGGGCTCACTAACTCCAGAGGTTACCCATTTTTTAATTATATCGGATCAATGTATTACCTTCATTCGCTATCCTTCCCATTTCCTGCCTCGCACATCGACTTTGTCGAACCAGCTGCCACCGGCGGTCTATCCGAACCGTCGCGACCTGGGGACCTTCAAGAGGAGAGCATACTCTTTCCTAAAAGGCCGGCAACGCATTTGTAAGCCCTCGGGTGTTGCAGGTGTTCATGGGCGGCGGTGATCACTTACCATCAGGTGAGCCTCCTGCTCGTTTGCCCCTTTTCTCCATAAAAAAAGCATCGTGGCGTAAGGCGGACTTCTTGGACATTTTGTCCATATGGTCCACGGCCGCGCACCCAACTCGCAAAGGCCACGCGTAATTACTGTATCGCCGTAATAAAATAGTTAATAACAGGCCGGGACGAGGAGTGAGGTCACACGAAACGCGATTCGTAGAGTCCGAGACGAAAAAAAAAACTCGTACGGAGACGTATCGAATTACGTACAGCCGTAATTATGTTTAATAGAATTGTGTACGTTTCTTGTAATTGCGATTAGCGGCCGGCATCGGTTTCGCCGTCGGCGGATTTTTTTCGGAGGTACTGTTTTTTGGCGGATCTTTTTCATCCCGCGTCTGGCGTTCTTCCGAAGGCCTTGTCCAGTTTATTTATTTATTTATTTATCCTTTATGCACTAAAAGTACAAAGGCGGACTGCGGCGGCGGTTATTGTAGGCCTAACACAGGAACTAATATTTTTAATTCTCATAAAACTCGAACACAAAGGAAAATAATTGCAATAATAATACGCTTTGTTACCAACTTATTTTCTTCCAAAGGTTCCATGGGAGAAATGACTTTTAGTAATAAGGCCGCCCATTATTTCACATAAAGTTTTTGATTTTTGTTTATTTTGATTCATTCATTATTTTATTCAACTGGTACTAATATTTATAATAGTTTTGTTACGTGAAAGCAATCACCTTAGGTGAAAAACGTAACTCAACCCGATTGATCCACAGCGTAGCAGGGTAAATTACAAGCACACGCTTGGATCGAGAACATTAGAAAAAAGTAACCCCTCCCCCCCCCCCCTCCACACCTCCCCCGCGCCACACTCCCGCGAAGTGAATCGTAAAACTTACCCTATTAAATGTTTACAGCCTTCCAAAACTTCAACACAGTGCAGTGTAACGGTAGAGCGAACGTCAAACGAGTTGTTCGCAAACGTTATAAAGTTGAACGCGCGAAAAACGATAAAAACAAAAAAAAACGATAAAAAATTGATAGTTCTCCCAGTTTGTCGCCATAGCGAGCTTTCTTACATTTCCAGCCTATAAACTTTGCAAAGATGAAACTATTGGTATTTAAATAGTTTTGCCTTAGGGTACAAAAAGTTTCACGATTTTTTTTTTAAAGGAATATAATTGTAGATAATCGAGCTTACGGGTTGGTTATGTATTTAAAAATTATTTCTGAATCAGACGCTCTCTTAATATCCTAAATATATGATAAATAAATGAAAAATGTTTATATTCAAATACTTTCTGAATTGACTATTAATAAACAGTACGATAATACCGTAATTATGACACCATCGTGATCTTCATTCGATTTCAAATATATTTTGTAATACAATTTATTATCATATGTGCTCCTGTACATAGGGTTTCATTAAAGCTCGGGAAAAAGTTCCTCCCTGCATCCATCGGCTTCCTAAAAATTCGTACAGGAACAGCAACAGTTTTATACTGGACATTATTTGTCGCCTCTGATGCGAGGTTGCTCTGTGCCCACATTCGTATATAACAATAACATTGGTTGGCGCAGCTAACTGCAGAGGTTACGGAGGTATAACGGCTAATGCCGTGGTACAGGTCAATGTAAACCGCCACAACCCTGTTTTCAAATTTTTTAATCTTATTAATTTATCAAGAAAGAGTGTTAGATTCAAAAAAATGTAGATATAAATAGAGCACTGTGAAAATTTGTAACAATAAGTCTTGATTGTTTTGTTCTTTTGTAAAGCGTTCGACGTGAATAGATTATACTAAAGGTGATGTTTAAATTAGTAAACAAATTTCTCTATATTTATAAAAACTTCTCAGCAGGCGCTTGGAAAATCCTATGAAATCTCCATCGTTCCGCTGCCTTCATGCCTAGTACGAATGCTAGGCATGGTCGAAACCAGGGCCGGTTTCTTTCGTCATCTGTAAGGCACAGCTAAGGAACTGAATGCAGCTTTTAACTTGTATACTTGAACTGTGTATATCCACACAGTAAAACTTAACAGCTCACAATCGAGAAGGACAGTATTCGACCTTGTTTGTTAAAAAAAAGCTGAAAGTCAACTATCTCAGTTCTAACTCCCGATATATCTCAAGTGAAGACTTAATACAGTATTCAATATGTAACTTCGCAAATGAAATAACTTAATATAGAACGAATTCTATAAGCCCGAACGTATGAAGTGTGTCTTCTGAACTGTGTTAGTAGTGCAGTAGCCACTTGTGTACTCATCTTCAATAAGCTAAAAGGGAATGTATCGGGGTTATGCGATTTAACACGTGACCGTCGATATGTAGGCTACTACTCGCAGGCTATATCGGGCGCCAAGGACGACCGCTCCTCAATGTGACCCATTGTGCCCATTCGCCACGCTGCCGGCCGCGCGGGATTACGGGCTCTCGCCGCGAATTACAGCTGTAATAATTCTCACTGCGATATTACAGCTTCCGTGCTGTCTGTGAGCAGATTTTTCGTTTTTAAATAATAATTCCTTGTAATTACCGTCAAATTCATTCAGCACGGTAGGTGGCCATGGAACTTTTGCATATACATCATGTGGAAACAAAGCTTTTAAGGGTCCCGAACCTATTAAAGAGTGCAGAATTCAGCGATACAAATATTTATATGAAAATCGACATAAGAACTGACTTTTGACAACGTTCAAGCTTTAAATTTTTGATATTACAAGCAGCACACGTGATGTTCCCCTCACAAATATTATGCACTAATTTTCGCTCGCAAAACCTTACAAACAAAACAAAACACCCTTAGACGGTGATCAAGATTTCCCCAGTCACTAGGCAACCACGGTCTCAATACTAAAACAAACTCGCATAATGCATCGCACGAATCCCTTTGTGAATTCAGCGATACGTCCATACCATTCGAAAGCAATGACGCCTACGCGATTGCGCCAAACGCAACGCGCGTCGGACAAGTGACGCGGCGAGAGACGGGCCCGACAATATCGAAAAACAATCCCACATAATATAATTCCCATTAGTGCACTTCGCAAACGACCCTCATTCACCGTCTCGCTCGCACACCAACAAAAAACCCCGTACCTACACATGAGTCGCGCAATCCCGTGCATTCCATACCCTCGGTAATACACGAATCAAAAAAAAAAAAACCACCGATCTCACGAAAACGTCACTTGACGCCGGGCAATAAGAGCGAGAGTCCCGCAGCACGCGGGTGTGGTTCTATTTTTTCTTAAGGCCAAGTGCGAAGGGGTCCCGGCAATCTTAATATAAATAACAATAACGAGCTGGGTCGGGCGATCTTAAAACCTTTTAAAAACATTGAGCGGTTTTGACAGATGAGCCTGAGCGGCCCCGTTGTCTTCAGCCGCGTTCTAAATTCGAAATTCGGACGCTTCGAACTTAGAACGATGAACGCGGAAAATTAGCTCGGCCATTATTCCCAATTTAACGACAGTAAGCC